GAGATGACATAGACAAAATAAAAGGAATCAATAAAATTATACAACTTTAAGAATACATAATATACAGGAGAGATTGGATTAGGTGGTTAAGATAACAAATTTAAGGTATAAGTATAATTTATGTTAGGTTATTTTTGATACAGGATCTGCTAATATTTGGTTAAATTCAGCAAGATGTAATGATTATGGATGTAAAAATCATAAGCAATATGATGGTTCAAAGAGTTCAACTTATGAACATTTAGGTTATGATTTAGATGTAGAATTCGGAACAGGAGAATTGATGGGAGAAGTATATAAAAATAGCATAAATTATTAGATTAATGCTGATACTGCATATGTTGGTGGAGTAAAGATTGCTAAATAAGAATTTGCAGAAATAGTAAGAGAGAATGGTGATGTATTTGCATAATCAGATTTTGATGGTATTGTTGGATTAGCATATCCAACAATGGCTGCTTATAATTTCAACCCATTATTTGATAACATTATGCAATAGAAATTATTAGACAGAAACGTGTTTTCTTTCTATTTTTCAAGATAAGAAGGTTCTAGATCATCTGAGTTAACATTGGGTGGTTGGGATAATGATCATTTCACTGGAGATTTACATTTCCATAATGTTGTTAATAAATATTATTGGTTATTGGATGCTGATAATATTTTAGTCAATGATAAAGATGTAGGACTTTGTAAACATGGATGTAAAGTAGTTGCTGATACTGGTACTTCATTATTAACTGGTCCATCAGAAGCTTTATATGATTTACTTGGTATTCCTTTATTTTAATTTTAGATACCTTGAACATTGATGAAAACTGTAGTAACGTTAAGGAATTACCAAAATTAACATTCGTTTTAGATGGTATTAAATATGATTTGGATGCTAATGATTATGTGATGAAAATAGATTCTTAAGGAAATGAAGTATAAATAATTTTAATCAATTTAGGTTGCTTATGATACCTTTGCTAGTACTGATAGTTTTGTAGAAATGGGAGCAAATTGCCAATGTGTTGGATCATTTATGCCTTTAGATATTCCATCACCTTAAGGACCAGCCTGGATTTTAGGTGATACTTTCCTTAGCAAATTTTATTCTGTCTACGATAGAGATAATGATAGAGTTGGTTTTGCTAGATCAAAATGATTCATATTATTATCATCAAATACACATCTTAAGAATAATTATTATAAATAATAATTGCTTATTTATAATATCATCATGCATACTTAGGACTTTATCCTGGCTTTTGTAATTAACCAACAGCTTATTATTGTAATTAAGGTTAAACATTTCCTGTTGCTCCTGGATATACTTATTACCATCCAGTTGAATATTATTAAGTTGTTGTTGTAACTTATCCATAACCAGGTTAAGCATATGTTGTAGCTGGTAAATAAGCTGAATTCTATGTCACCTAACCATATGTTGTAATTGGAGTTGTATAAGCTTAATTCACAAATTAAGAAGTTGTAACTGGACCTGCTACATATTGACTCTAAGTGGTTGGTACATATTGGGTTGTTGATTAAGCATATTAAATTGGGGATGAAGTTGTTTATGCATATTGAATTGGTTATTAGATGGTTTATGTATATTGAATTGGTTATTAGACAGTTTATGTATATTGAATTGGTTATTAGACAGTTTATGTATATTGAATAGGTTATTATACAGTTTATGTATATTAAATTGGTTATTAGACAGTTTATGTATATTGAACTGGGGCTGCTACTAAAATTAAATATAAATAAAATTTATTTACCTTAATATTATTGTGTTGTTTAGATTTATTAATAATCGACTGGTGTTTAGATGACACTCTATTTTGTCACTGCTTGATACTCTGTTCTCTCTTTTATTGTTTCAACTGGTACGTATTCTGCGTTTAATTAATACAATATCAATACCAATGTATTTCTCCTATATTACTTAAGGAATATGCTCAGTAACATATTCAACTGCATAATAGTCAGTAATCTTTCTCTCTCTTGGCACATATTCAACCACTTCTTAAGTCACATACTCGGTAACTTCTTTTGTGTATGGAATATATTCAATTCGAGATTCCCCCTTGATTGCCTATACAATAATTATATTTATTCTTACATTCCCTTATGTAACAACTGGCCCACTTGATTGTATCAACCCTTATTATTAAACATATGCTGGTTGCTACAAATATTGAGGATTTTAAATTAATCCTGTCTGTTAAAGTGATAAGGGTTAACCCAAAACACCTGGCTGAATTTATGAGCTGGCTGGAACCCAATTTTATTAAGCTCCATATGTTTCTGGTACTTATTATTATGTAGTTGCTGGTAATTGTGATGGTGTTGCCTTCTAAGCTGGAAGTTATGATGGACGAGGATTGTTCATTAAATCTTAATTTATTTATTTTTAATTATTCATCAAATGAATATTTTCAGATATTAATTATATCAATCTTTTCATTAATAATACTCATTTATTTTCTATTCTCTTTTCTTAATTTTCTTTATTCATTTTCATAATCATTATATATCTCAACTATAAATATAAATAGTTATTGTTATCTTCGAACTAAATTTTAACTTAAATTAATTTTTTAATGTAAATTATATTCACTCATTCAAAATAATTAATTTTTTATCATTATATTTCATTTTCAAAATAAATAAACCCTGGAGTATATATTAAACGCTTTTCATCTGGAGTATCTTATGTTTAAACTAAACTTAAATTTAAGTATTGTTTAAATAACTATTTCATGTGTTCTTCTGGCTTTTTATTTACAAAAACTTCTTTAATTTCCAAATTATACTTAAATTACAATTACGAAATCAATGTAGTGAAACTGTATATTATCTGACTATGAATTTCATTATAAAACTCTTCACTAAATGAATTTATAATCTCTTCATTCAATTCATATCTATAATCATTATTTCCTAATTTATATCTATTCTTTTTAAATAAAGTATCGTTTAGCTATTTAAAATATGGTAGCATATTAGTATCAAAGCATAATGGTAATTTATTAATTGGTTAAGTATATTCAAACTTTTTAATTCTTTAAAATATAGGTATTTTATTAAATTTGTGTAATTGTAAATATTTGTAGAATTTATCTTAACAATCTAAATAGTTTAAAGGGTATCCAATTCCTATTAAAAATGGAGTTTCATTTGGCAATTTAAGAATTATATTAGTGAAATTATGTTTATTAATATATAACATTTTTTTTAATGAGATCTATCTGTTACTCATTCTCAACAATATTTGATAAAATTATAAAAAGATAGATACCTGCAAAAATAATATATGAAGATAAACATGTAAGTCATCATCAATTTATATTTAAGTGCTTAGCATTTGAAGATATAAATCCTAAAGCAAAAATACATGTATTAGTCATACCAAAAGAACATTTAGATAGATTATCAAATGCAACAGAATAGCATATTAATCTTTTAGGAAATCTGATGTATGCTGTAAATAGAGTTGGGAGACAATTACAATTAGAAGGTTATAGAGTTGTAATAAATGACGGATAGAAAGGAGGTTAAACAGTATTTCATTTACACGCTCATATATTGAGTGGAGAAAATTTACCTGGTTTTGAATGAAGAAAAAATAATAAATCATTCAATATACTATTCTAAAATTCCTTATTCCCATTTTGCTTAAATGATTTTACCCTCAAGAGTTTAGAATTGACCTTCTCCATGAATCATTCCATCATCGAATTGACCAGTATATTTTTCTCTGTTTGAGAGTATTAATGTACCTTATCCATGCATTTTACCACCCTCAAATTCACCTATTAATTAATAATTGATAATACCTTCATAAGATAACCATCCATTTCCAATATTTGTCATATTAGTGTAATCATAAGGATCTTCTAATTCTTCAATCTATAAATTATTTAATTTTCCATCACCCTCGTAAAAATTATCTTTCCAATATCCAGCATAAACTTCTTGACCTTCACTATCAGTTAAAATTCCAAAACCATTTCTAGTTTATGGAGGATAACCTTAACCTCTATAAATATAACCATCTTCATATTATAAAGCCAATTCTATTAATTAATAATATTTTATTACCTTCAGGTTCATTATTCACTTCTTCATTTTCTAATTATTATGGTGGTGGTGTTTGTTGTTTTTTAGGTTAAATTTCTTATTATTCATGAACTTGTTTATTTGGAGTTTTATTTTGTTGCTATGTTTATTGTTGTGTTGGTTATATTTCATGATCTTACTTTTTTTTGGGTTACTATTGTTAGATTTAACCATTTTAAGGTAAAGGTTTGATGGGTTAAGGTAAAGATGTAGATTCTAAGATAGTTAGAAAATGGATTACTTTGTTAAGGTAAATGTGATTATTATTAAATATTGTTTTTATTAATTCTTTCCATCACTTATTCATAAGTTAAAAATCCAGGTCTTGTTGGTGATTATAATTGCTATTATGAAGGTGGTTTATATTATGGTGGTTATTATTATTATGATTGCATGAGTTGATTTCTAGCAGGTGATGCAAATCCTCTCATTGGACTTTGAAAATTCTTATTTGGAGATTGAATAGTTTAGCTTGCCATAGGATGAGCTGTTGGCATATTGACTTTTGGAATTGGATATCCATTATAGGATTAATAGAGAGCTGATTATGGATAGTATTAAGGTGCATAAGGTTGATAATATTAAGGAGGTCTGTATTGTGGTGGTTGATACACTGGACGAGGATAGTATTATTATCTGCCGTAAGGATAATACATTAAAATTAAATTTCAAAATATATATCTTTCTTATTTTTGCTTATAATCAATTAATTCATCATATTAACATTTTATTGCATTTATTTTCCTTGTAAAATATCAATTTAAAATCTTTATATTACATTAACAAATTAAAGAGTGTTTTAATTTTTTAATTATATCGTTAATTTTAACATGTACAGAAGATAAAACACAACAAGAAAATAAATAGATCATTATAGCTATCTCTTAAATGAAGAGATTGGAAGAGGATTCAGTAGCAAGGTATATAAGGGGAAGGATGATGTATCATAAGAAGCAGTGGCTGTTAAAGTGATTGATATGAAAATGATCAAATAATCAATTCACTCGTAATTATTAAAAAATGAAATCAATGCTCTTCGTTCATTCAATAGTAAACATATAATGAAATTGCATGATGTCTTTTAAACATAAAATAATACCTATATAATTACAGAATATTGTGATTCTGGAGATCTAAATAATTATATTCGTAAAAGAGGAAGATTAGATGAATAGGAAGCAATAAAAATATTATAATGTGTAGTTTCTGCAATAGTAGAAATGAATAAAAAAGGTTTTATCCATAGAGACATAAAACCTGCTAACATATTAATTGATCATTCAATTCCGAAATTGGCTGATTTTGGTTTTGCTGTTCCTTTGCATGAAGCAAGAGTTCAAGGCAGAAATTTCAATGTTGGAACTCCTCTATATATGAGTCCTTAAGCTTTAAGATAGTAAGGACATACAGAATAGGGAGATGTTTGGGCAGTTGGAGTTGTATTTTATGAAATGTTATTTGGAAGAACTCCATTTAATGGATAATCAGAAGCAGCCTTAATTTCTAACATAATGAATTAATCATTACATTTGCCATCTCATCCATAAATCTCGTCTGCAGCTAAAGATTTTATTAGATAATGTTTAACTATTGATGATAACAGAAGAATGAGAGTACGTGATATGGCTAATCATTAGTTAATTAGATAAGCTATCTCACCTTCATTACCTCAATAATAACAATAATAATAACAATAACAATAATATTAAAGATAATAATAACAAAGATAAGCTATCACTCCTCCTCCTAATGAATAATAATAATAATAAAGAGTTAAACGATCATTAAGTTAAGGAGGTAAATAAGATATTAGATATAAAGATAATAAAGAAAACTATTGTCAATAAGTTAATTAATAACCACAAAAACCTCCATAAGTTGATAATAATAATAAATAGCCCTTATAACCTACTTAATAGAATGTCTAAAGATCTACTAGTTAATAATAAGTTCAAAAACATTATATCAAACAAAAAACATAACCTGCTGAAGACATTAAAAATTTACCTATTTCTATTGAATGCAGACTTAATAATGACATTTTATTTACTCAAGTCAATTTTTGTAGATTCCTATATAAGTTCTCTTCCACTCTACTCTAATGCAAAGTTATTAATACTGAATTAAAGGATAAATTACTTTTTTTAATGGGCAAAAATATTGCCATCAAAATCACAAAACTTAATTCAATTACAGATAAAGAAAATACTTAACCTAATTACTTACAATTAGAAGATTTAACTTCTTATAAAAAAACTGATTCTTATCACAAATTTACTTAAGCTATTATTGAATATAATGAAAAATATATGAAATATTTTGATAAACTTCTTAAATTATGCAACTCTAAATCAGGTATTATTATATATTTTAGTATTTTAGAACTTTAAAAAGATACAACATTTGTCTGTCTCTTAAACTAAGACTTTACAGAAACAGAAACATTTTATCGAATAACTCAATAATATATCAAATAAAGTTTGAATGAAATCAAAAACTACTTTAGATAACAAAACTTACAAAACATTAATCTCGATTCTCCTATCACAGAAGATGTAAATTAATAAAGTATTTAGATTCAATTGCCAGGACATATTTTATAAGTACTTAGCAATTATTATCTTTTACTTCAAAAAGCTATTGAATACTTGAAGGATTATAGGGGTTTTGTGAAATGTGCCCAAAAAGATTTAATGACTGATAAACCATAAGAAATTCTCACATATGGGATATTAGAATAATTAATGGTTAGATTGCTATGATAGTTAAAGTTATTATTTTAAATTTATTCTTTATCTAAATTTTGAGATTGTTTTGATAGAAATTTTATTACTCATAATAGCATCTTGAGAACATTTAAATAAATTTTAATAATTAATTTTAAAACTCATATTGATTTTTATTATGATAAGGATTATCATATAAATTATTTGATATAATTATATCACAAATCAATTTGATATTCTCATTATTTCATTCTTTATCAATATTTTAAGGTTTTGTGGAAGGATATATAGGAACTTTCGTATGACCTTTCAGTCCATATCCATAGTCTTTACTAGCTAAGCAATTACGATAATCTAACTTGTTACAAATTCATTGTTCATCATCTCGTTTAATTAGTATCTATTTTTCAATTCCACAACTTATTTGTAGGATGCATCTGAATATGTATAATCTTTAAATTTTGGTCTGTCATATAAACCTATTATAATAATTGTTTTTATTAAAATTACTAAATTTAACATCCATATCAAATTAAGGCATATAATATTCTTTACTTCCAAGTACATTATTACGTACATATACTCTAAATATAATCAATCATACTTTCTTTATTCATCTCTTTAAGTGTTTAAATTGTTTATGTACTAAGGTTATTAATCCAAATTTTTTTGTAACTTTTGATAATATTCATTTGCATCAGCTCTGCTAGAGTGAGTTTCATAATTCTAGGATTTTCTAGAATTATGTTTAGAACCTTGTTGAGAAAAATCCTTTTAGCTATTCCTATCTTTTTCTTATTTTTGCATTTCTTGATTTTGCTACTATTAAATGAGGCTTGATTTTTGAAATTGATCAATTGAATCTTCAACTCTATTTTCTTGATGCTACAAAAGTCTTGCTTTTTCTGAATTTACTGATTTAGATTGCATTAATTATGGTGTACTCTTAAATTATTATTACATTCCGTTGCCATACTACATTTATTATTGATATTAGAAGTCTGAAAATAATGGATTTCTCATTCTTATATCATTTGAAGTTGTTTTCAATTCTTATTTATTATATATATTTATTTACTTTCATTACTAAGATAGGCTTATATAAATTTATCTGCACCTACATTTCTTTCCTTTCTTAATACTCTTGGCCTAGTTCCTTTTAATTAAATTTTAAATCTACCTTATAATTCTCCTAATTCCATTGAATAAACAGGTTCTTTCATTTTAAATAAAAAAATATTTAGAATAATTATTATAGATTTTTAAGTTGTTTTAAAATTGAATATAATTTCAATCCTAACGCTTGATTTTACTCAAATTAATGATAATTCAAATTTAAACAAACCAATAAAGATAATAAATAATGTAGAAGTTTTTTTTTACAAATAATTAATTAATTCTTAAAAAAAAATTAGAGTAAATAAATTTTATTTATATTTACAAATGGGAAATTAAATGCATTTTGCAAAGACAATGGATGAATCTATTTTTAATAAAAATATACCCTTAAACTCTTAAATCTAACATCTAGGACGATAAAACTATTAGCATATTGAAAGTGTTGAACTATATAAACTCAAAAACGAAGTGACAAAATTTCCAACAATTTTTGAAAAAATAATAGCTAATTCTGTTTCAAGTGAATAAGAAGGATAATTGTTTAATTTTCATAATCAAGCCTAAAGTTTATATCATCCAAACCTAATAAAATATTATGGGTTTTATATTGATCCTGAAATCACAACTAATTTAATAATTAGTAAATGGTATTATTAAGCACTTAATAAGACAATCAAAAATATATGTTCATATCATTTTTAATATAAATCATTAATACCAGAAAAAGATTTGTGGAATGTATCTATTTTAATATAATTATGAATAGTATCTGTATCAAATATTTTAAGGACTTCAATTTTTAGAAACAAAATAATAGTGGCATTTATAAATATAACCAGATGCTATATATTTAGATTAAAATATGTAAGTACGATTGATACCAATGGGAATTTTAAGAATATTGAGTGGCTATTCTCTTGTCTTTAATAAATAAGGATAAGCTTTGCTTTCTCCAGAATTAATTGAACAATTAAGACTTAAAAATATAAATCCAGTTCATGATCCCTCTAAATCTGACATCTTCTCTTTAGGTATGACTCTGTTAGAATTTATGACCCTTAAAAGCAGTTTTGATTGTTATTCATTCAATACTAATCCTCCTTAATTAAATGATCAATTAATTGAAGAACGTTTATAAGAATCAATTATGAATGGTTATTCAGATGATTTAATTAAATTAACAAAAAATATGCTTTAAAGAGATATGCATTATCGAGTTGGAATTAGAGATGTTTTAGTACACAATTATCATATTATTAGAATTCCAAAGAATTAAATCAAAATTATCATAATTAGGGTAACAATTTGTCTCCTTTAAAGCCAACATTAAATTTGAGTAATCCAAGATAACAAAATGTTAATTAATAAGAATAAAAACCATTTATATAACCTTCTATACCTGTTCCTATTGAGCAATCCAATTTTCAATAGAATTAAGTTTCAATATTCAAACCTTATCTTGAACTAAATAAATTAGATAATATTTCCAATTTTTAATAATCATATCATTTTAGAGAAAAATAAGATGAAGAATAACTTCTAAGAGAATAACAAATTAATAGATAATTGGAATAATAATTAAAACAATAGCAATAGATGTTATAATAATAATGTTAATAACAAAAAAAATAATAATAAATAATCGAAGAATAGTAAAGACAATTGTTTTCTCTTTAGTAGTAAATTAAGCAGATTGCAACTCAAATAGAATAAAGCCATATTGAACCAACAGAAATCTTGAACTCTTCAAATTTACAAGATAATTTCAACTATTAAATCAACTTGCTTCCAACTCCTCCAATTACTTATGCTAGCCCAATTAAACACACTCTTAATGATTTCACAGAAAATATTGAGATTTAGAATAGAGTTAATTAAGTTTTAGCCTAATCAAGATAAGCAATAAGTCGATATAAAAATTGATAATTTATTAAATAATTAAGGAAAATTTACTATTGTATCATTTAATATAGATCAATTTTTATTTCTTATTCCTTTTTTTTATTGCATTTATTATTATTATTATTATGTTTGTGATAATATTGATTTTCGTGATCTAGCAGCATCAATAATTGTTTTTATTGGTGGGGATTAAGTAGTACTACTTGCACTTAAGAAAATAGCTGCTTAAGATGCACTTGCCTTTTCTGGAGTTCCTTAAATTTCTGTATTAGACTTTTTAATCTAATTTTCCTCTAATTATCTTAACATTTAATCAACTACATTCTATAATTTATTTGTTATTTTTTATTTGTTTTATTAAACTTTTTCTCGATGGCTTTCAATTGAATCAATCTATTTTTAGAGAATTGAAGATAATTAATCAGAATCTTAATAAAAACTAATTGCTTTTGATAATTCTTCTGGAGAACAACTCAATACAGAAGAGGTTTGACATGGAAGAATAGGATCAATTTAATTTTGGATTGTATTTTTGAACTCTATAACATGATTATCAAAATTCAATTTATCATTGTTCATTTCTTCCTTTAATCCATCTTTAAAATCATTGAGTTTAGATGCTACTTAATTTAAACATACATTAAAGTCTTCATCAAATTAACTAGAATCGTTCGTAATTGGTTCTATTTGGAGGTTTTTTACGTTCAATATTTTTTTATTTAAATCTTCTTCAAATTTTGATATCTGTACTCTCATATGACTATGGTTTTATGGGGATAATGAAATATGATTTTCTAAAAAACAATCAGCACAACCTTATAAATATGAAATCATAAAAATATACCTAATTTTTAATCCTAAGAACATTTTGGATCAATACATATATATTTGATCTTTTATTAATCATGTTGCTCTATTGGACATTAACTCATTGTTATTATTATTCGATATAAATTTTAATAATAATTAATTTTACGCGCACTTTAATCAGCGCAATTTAATTTATTTTAAATTTTTTAGAAAATAAATGAAAAAAAAAAAAATGCCTAAAAAGACTGTTAAAAGATAGAATATTGGTCTAATTTATTGAGTACTTGTAATTTTTATATAAATCTGAACCAGTTCTAAGAGAAATAGTAAAGAAAAAACTAATTGCTTAAAGTACATAAACAATTTTTTTTTATTCTTTAAAACTTGTGAATTATATCGCCAAGTTAAATTTAAAGTTTTCTTGAAACAAATTAAATATCTTAATAAATCAAATTTGATGAGCAGAATGGTCTAAGAGAAATTTGCATATAAAATTAGGTAAAAGAAAATATTTTGGTAATTTGACGAGGTGATGATTAGAAAGGTACTTAATTATTTTATATTAAATATATATATAATTATTTATTAAATCCTTCAAAAACGGAATTACTAATTTAATAATAATTAATTATACTCATTAAAAAAAACAAAAATTCGTTTTTGCTTAATATGGGGTTTAAAATGATTATTTTTGAAACAAAGAAAAGCATTAATAAATGAAATCTATAGTTATTTTAGTATTGGTTGCAACAGCCTTCGCTACTAATTTAGCAGCTTTCGAGAAACTCGAAAAATCCAAACTTGGAAAGACTTTGTTGAACACAATTGCTATCTAAATGTAAACAGGTGAACCCCTTGAAAGAATTTTCTCTACACTTTATGATTTGGAAGAAAGATATTAAAATGATTAAAGAGAAGATGATGCTGAAAACAAAGCTTATCAAGGAGTTTGTGATAGTGATCTTGCTGGTCTTAACTAAGAAATTGCTAATCTTGAATAAAGAGACACAGAATTATAAGCAAGATTAGATGAACTCTAACCAGTCCATGACTAAAAGGTTGGATAAAGAGTCGCAAAATTAGCTGAAAAATCACTCCTTTAATAAGTTATTGATGAAGCTTAAGCCAAAAGATAAGAATAAAATGATGACTTTGAAGCTTAAAGAGAAGAATTCACATTTGTATCAGGTGTTCTTGCTGAAGCTAGAAGACTCTTCACAGATAATTTATAAGCTCCAGCTTTCTTATAAAAGGGATCAAGTGAAGCTGTTCACTATACTCCATAAGTATTTGCTTAAGTTGCTAATCACTTAAGTTCTGCTGCTCATAAGGCTGGTTAAATGAAACACGTTAGAACATTTGGAAAGGCAATTAAACTTATGGCTTAATTGGCTGTTAAAGCTTAATAATATGCTAATTAAGAATTAACAGGTAGAATCATTCAATTAATTGATGATTTATAAAACTAATTATAATAAGCTTTCGATTTAGCAAGAAAGACTGAAGATTCAAGAAGATAAGCTTATGAAGCTTACAGTTCACTCTTAAACAGAGATATGAATAAACTTAATACAGCTATTGCTAATTTAGAAGCTGAAATCTAATCATTAGCTGATTAACTTGCTGCCACTCATAGTTCATAAGATGATAACACTGCAAGACTTTAAGCTAAGACTTAATAAAGAGATGACAGAAGAGCTGAATGCTAATAAGCTGCTTATGAATATTAATAAAGAAGAACTGCAAGAGATGGAGATAGATAAACTGTTTCAGATTTGATTGGACATTTGAATACCAATATGAGAGACTTAAAAGAATACATAGCCATGAGAGTTGCTGCTGGTGATACTGATTTAAGTTAATGATTTGATTCAATTACCAATAAAAATATGTTAAAAACAATCACAAATTATTTTTATCAAAATTCGATTCAATATATATCGAATAAGATTATATATAAAAATAATAACAAATATTCAAAATGCCAAATTTTACATCAATTCTGAAAAATCTTAGAAGCTTATTTCCTCTTTATCATTTACTTCATGCATTATTTATTTCCAAATTTAGTCTGGAACTAATCCATTTCCAAAAATCAATTTCAATTCATCTATACTTATTTAACCATTTCCATCCTTATATAAATTTTATTTTTACTTTATCTATTGCTTTAAATGTTTTAGATAAACGATCTTGAGATAAAAATTTTGTTCTATTAATAGAGGCAGCAACAAATTCAGAATAATCTATAGATCCTGAATTATTTTAATCAATATCTTTCATTATTCTATCTACTTCTTCAATTGCTTCATCTTCATTCATAATCTTCTTTAAACCAATTAATAATTCTTATCTACTCAATTAACCATCATTATTTGTATCTAAAGCTTTAAAGGTTTTCAACAATTCTGATTTATCTTCTTAAGTTGAAAATTAATTTACTATATACTAATAAATTGCAGATTGAATTTATTTAGTTGACTAATTAGACATTAAAAATATACTTACTTTAAAAGTCTTCATGTTTTTTAAATATCTATCTATTTGAGGCAATTAATTTTAAATATCATCATTTTATTATACAATCCATGTATGTTTAAGTGCTTATTCAGCAGTGTATCTTTTAAAAGGATCTTTTTCCAATAATTTAGAAATAAAATCTTTAGCTTATTCAGTGATAATGTCCCATTCTTCTGAATTAAAATCATAATTCCCTTATTCAACTTTTTCTAAAATTTTGGCTTCAGATTTTCCATTAAATGGTGGATAACCGCATAATAAAATATAAGCTAAAACTCCACATGACCATATATCACATTTTTCATCATATTTTTTTTTTAATACTTCTGGTGCTATATAGTATGGCTAAATATAAAAATAAAGATTTACCGTCCCTATTTTTTGATTCATTTTTTAATGTGGATCAAATATCCTTGAAGTACCAAAATCAATAATTTTTATTGTTCCTCTTTTATCTTTACTTTCAAAAACTATGTTTTCTGGTTTTATATCTCTATGTACTATTTTATGTTGATGACAATAATTTAATCCTTATAATACCTATTTTAATATTGTTGATGCCTCCTTCTCTGAAAAATGTTAAGATTCTGCTATTGCATCGAATAATTCTCCTCCAGTATATAATTCTGTTACTATAAAAATCTATTATGAATTTTAGTAAATCTCTAGAATCTTCACTATATTTGGATGATCCTAATTCAAATATTACTTACTAACTTTTTCAGTATTTCTGCTTCATGTAGAACCCTAGTAATTTCTTCATTTGAAGCCTTTAATTTAGATATTATTTTAATTGCTCTTGTAATACCTAAAACTTTGTGTATACCCATTCGCACTTCCGCATAAGATCCTTAGATTAAAAACAGTTTTACCACTCCCTAATGGAGGAGAAAGTATTTAATAGATATCATGAATAGCTTAATTTTAATGAGTGTTTACAGAATCCAACAATTTAATCTAAGTTTTTTCCTTTATTTCCTATTCTGTCAAATTTGGATTTAATAGTGATGATTCTTATGTTTAGGGTTAATTTTAAGGTTTTTAATTAAGTTCCTGCAAAGTATTTTCTGGGTGTTTTTGTTTTGGTTTTTCAATACATAATTGACCCATTTATTTTTTATAATTTTTTCAATTATTAAAATTATACATATTTCTCAGTATTTTAATCTACTAAATTTAAAATAAGATAACCGAAAATACTATTGTTAATAATTATAACATAAGAAACCACAAAATGTAAATTGATTAAACTACTCAATTTTCAGCTTAAACATGTATTATCAAATAATCTTCACTAAATAAATTATTTATATAATTTTGTTTAAAAAAGAAATCTATCTTTGATAAGCTTAATTATTCTTAATAATACATTAAACATTCAGCCTCTTTATAGAATTTGAGAATAACTACAAATTAGAATTATAATAACAGTAATTAATAATATTAATTAAGGTTTTCTGATAATAATTATATATGAAGACTATATTTCCCATTACAACCTATGTATTGAAGTTGGAAGGATTTCCTAAAAATTCATTTTTCAATCCTACAGAGTAAAATATATATGGAGTGATGTTCTAAAGGATTGACAAGCTATATGATGTGGAGATTTTGATGATTATTTAAATTCAAGAAAGATTATAAATAATACTCAAAATTAAATTTTAGTATTTAAGCAAAAAAAGAAATCTAGAAGCAAAAGAATAAGTTAAATAATTTGTCTAAATAGTGAAATATTATTTTGCATTGAAAATTTTGAAAAGGGTCTTATTGAATTTGATAATTCTAATTGAATAATTTTTATATTATGTAAAATTAAGAGTTTAAATAAAATTGTAGTTTAATCCTAAAAGGAGAAAGTAATGAGAAAGGGAATCTTTATTTAGGTAAAAAGCAATTATTTTTAGGAAATCTTAATTCTATTGATGAAGAAAATTTAAATGCTAAATCAATAAAAGCTGTAATCACGGCAGCAAGAGGTGTTAATAGAACATTAAAAAATGTGAATCATCATATTATTGAAGCAGATGATGATGAAGATTTTTAAATAAGTAAAAATAAATTCAATCTTTAGTGTAGTATTTCTAAAAATCAATCAAATTTATAGAATAGAATTTGAAATCAACAAATGTATTGGTTCATTGTTTTGCTGGAGTATCTCGTTCAGCAACAATTATTTGTGCTTACTTAATGAAAATTGAAAAGTAAATTTTTATTTATTTATTTTAGAAAAGATAGTGAAACCATTCTTGAAAAATTGAAAACAATCAGGCCTCAAGTTCATCCAAATTAAGGCTTTTGTAATTAACTTAAATTGTTTGAAAAAAAAATATTGTGATAACACTTATAATTTTTTTTCTTTATAACCCATTTTCATAAAATTATTTAAAAGTAAGTTTGGAATAAAGCGTTAGTTTTTTTATAAAAATTAGAAATGATATTCTTGGTTAATTATATTTTGCATTATATATAATAAAGTATGAATAAATATTTTGAGTTTTCTAAATCAAAAGATGAATCGAGATTATCAATAGACTCATAGGAACTGCTTCGATAAGTTGAAAATAAAATAAATCAAGCATAATCCCCAACCTTTATTTCTCCTTAAAAATAATAAATAAATTATCCTGATCATTTTGATTAAAAAGAGCAAATGGATTATTTATCCTTCAAAGAATAAACTATTGTAAAGAGACTGTTTAATTTGAGGGATGACTATAAATTATTCTTAAAGAATGTGCAATCTTATTAAGATGAATTAATTTAATCTATTAGGGAAGTTATTAAAAAAGTTATAGACAAAGGAAATCGACATTTATAAGACCATGAATATGAACTAAGACTACAATTATAAGAAATTTAAAAAAACAAGGAGCTCATTAATTCATATTCTAACTGTCAAATTATATAATCACCTTTAAAATAAAAATAAAATTTTTTTTCAGAAATCTTAAATAAAATATCTGAATTAAACTTACATATAATTGAATTTTTTGATCAAGAAAATTCAATTTAAACAAACAGATATTAGAAGAAATTAAATTTTTCTAATTATAAAGAATAGAGTTCTAAAAAGAAATTCAAATAGTCTTCTAGTCCATTCAAAGAAATAGATCGAGTTTTATAAATGAAAACTTCATCAAGTAAAACTTAATTTTAAAGCAACAAAAAACCATAAGATTTAAATTAGTTCATTGAAGTACTTAAACTTAAAATAAACAATACTAAAAACAATAATTTATTATCGAGTAGACCAAATTTAACAAGCAATTTTTTATAAAGTAAATAAAACACTAACTCAAAAAGGTTATCTATTGAACAATAACTCTAATCTTAATACAAAATATTTTTTTAATCTGTTTTTTGAATTTATATAATTTATACATTTCCTATAAATTAGATTTGCATCAATCTTCTTAAAATTGTTAAGGATGATTATCCTGTCAGAAATGGTATGATAAAAATAGTGATTATTTACTAATTATTTGTTTAGTCCTATTGAATAATTATGTTTGAATATTTAGTTTTACTAGATTTCATTTATTATGATAAATTTATACTATGTCTTGAATTTAAGAAAATACATTTTTATAATAATATTCTCTTAAAGTATTTTCTAAATATAAAGAAAGATTAAAAAGTATACAATTATTATTAAGCAATCATTATTTCTTTTAATGATTGAAATATTAAGATAATTTAATTTGATATCATAAGTATTCTTAAAGTAATATTGTTTATAAAAAATATTTCTGTAATTACTAAATGAGCTAATTCGAAACAAATTCTTAGACTTAAATTCCTTATCAAGAAATGATCAAACCGAATTCAAATCGATAATTAGGAACATCCAATCTATCAAATGGATAAAATTAAAAAAACATAGATCAAAATGAGTATGTCAATTTATAATAAACCTTAGGTTTGCTCCAAGAAGATCTTACCAAACAAATAAGTAAAATATATATAAAAGCTAGTTATGGATATTAATAAAATACTCCTTAAGTTTAACAATATCCCCAATTAAATTATCCAGTTATGGGATAACAAACAATGAAAGAATAAGAACATGAAGAATAAATATAACGATTAATGAAGGAAAATGAAACATTAAGGTATGTTTCAAACAGTAATTAGATATTAGTGGAGAACCTTGGAGTAGGAAAATTAAAAGTTGAAAAACGATAAGTATTAAATATTAGTATAATAGTAATCAATTAGTTAACAGAGACAAGAGTAATTCAACAGAAAATTTAGGATTGCAGTATGATATATATAGTAATATTCAAGGGATTAGATACTTTAATTAAAAAATGAAAATAAAAGATTAATGAATACAATTTCAGAGGATCAATATCAACTTGTAGATTTATAAAAATTAAAAAAACAAGTAGAACTAAATAAAGGACTCGATAATTAGATATCTGACTTAGAATAGTAGCTACAAATAGCTAATAAACAATTATCAGAACAAAAAAGATTAAATTCTTTTTAAGAAAGTGATAATTAGACTTAGAGAGAAACAATTGAAAAATTAAAAGCATAACTTAAAGATGTTACATAAAATAATGAAGCATAATGCTAAAAGAATGATGCACTATTAAATGATAATAGAAAGATGAAATAAGCATTAGATATGATCAATAAGGATTTAAATAAAGAATAAGAATAAAATCAAATGTTAATTTAAAAAATCAATCAATTAAATTAGGGATCTAAAGATTAGATTAATAACTTATAAAAAAATCTAACAAATCTTAATTTTTAGAATGATTAAATGAAAAATTAAATTATTTAACTTCAATAAAAAGAAAAGGAATTATAAAATGCCTAAAATTAAAATTTATCAAATGAAAGTAAATTAAGACAAATGCAATAATAAATTTCTGAATGTAATTTAAATTTAAACTTTAGAATAAAGATTGATTGAGTAATATGCAATGACTATATAAACAGGAAAGAATGAATATTCAAAATTAGCAGCTAAAAGTTAATCATAAGAATAAGAGATATGGAAGTTGAAAGAATAGATAAATTAATTAAGCACACAAAACCAAATGTTATAAAACAAGTGTCATTAACTTGAAAGATCTATTGATGATAGTTTATCAAAATCTCAAATATAATCTGCTGATTTAAAAGGTACTCTTGATAAATGGAAAAATTATGGATTATCCCTTGAATAAGAAATAAAAAAAAGAGAAATGGCTTTACTTCAATTAGAAAATGAATATGTACATATGTAGAATCAGCTAAAAGGTGCTTAAGAAAATGAGGTTCAATTAAGAAACGAAAGAGCAGTAACATTATCAAAAATGAAAGAAATGCATGATGATTTACTTCTTTATGAAAAAAAATGTGATTAATAAGAGAGAGGTAAAATTATTATTATTTCTTTAGATTTATAACTCTTAAAGGAATAAAATAGGAATGCCTTATAAAATTAAGAGAGAATTGAATAAGATAAATAACAATTAAATCTTGAAGTTAAAAATTTAATGGATGAATTACATAGTACATAAAATTAAAATGATTTGAAAATTAGAGATTTTGATGCTTTATAAATGAAACATGATTCTGACAATAATATGAAAGAAAGAGAAATGTAGAACTGTCAATTATAAAATAGTATGCTATAAGAAAAAAATAAATAATTAGAAAATGATTTGGCTAAAGAGAAAGTATAAATGATTTCAATTAATTTAGGAAAAATTATTTAAGATGGAAAATAGAATAAGAAATTTAGAGAGTGAAATGCATAATCTTTAATTTAAGTAAACTCTAAAATAACAATATTAATGGAACTAAGATGAACCGAATAATCATAGCAATTAAATAGAATAGACAGAAAATAGCTAGATTTATTAAGGAATTAATGTGCCTTATTTAAATAATTCAGGATATTTGAGTCCATAATAAAATAATTTTGAAGTGTAGAAAACTTAATAACCTAAACCAACAGAAGTTTAAAATACTCCATCTTAAGTTAATGAATAACCAAATCATAGACGTACTAATTCTTAGCAGTTAATTAAAAGTAAAAATTATGATTTAAGATTCTAATATCAACCATAAAATTTATAACACTGAAAAAGAATGATAGATTATTAATTATTATAAATTTTAGTATATTTTTTTGATGTTAATATATTTGAATAATGATTTTAATTTGTAAGCCAACTATTTATGGATTATTTATTTCAATTTAACATATTACAAATTAAATAAAATAAATAATATGTTTAATTTATTATTATTCTTATAAATTACTTTCTGCTAGGAAATCAGTTTAGAACGAATAAAATTCAAAGAGGCCAATATTTCAGAATAAGTTACAAGCTAAAATTAAATTAAATGCCCTTTGGAATTAGAAAATTAAGAATTTAATTCTAATAATCTAAAAGTGATTTGCCAACAATATGATTTGTTTTACATGATGAAAGTTAATTTTACATAAGGAAAAGAAGATTTTGAAATGTTTGTAAATTGAATCATTTGATGTAGATTGATTTAGTTAGTCCTTGGAGTTGGTATAAGTCTCCAGAATGTGAATTCTATGATTAGGCTTCAATTAATGAAACAATTAAAAAATAAAGTTGTTGGGATAAAAGTTATATTAAATCTTAAAAGCTTGACTAATCGTCATAAATAGAGACTTAAATAAATGCACATAACTTTTCATTAAAAGGAAATCTGGTTACATCTTATATTGCGATAGATAAAAAATAATTTTAATTGGAAATGCTTTAAGTTAATTAAATATTTACAAAAAAATTATTTCCATCTGATGGAGCTATTAGTATGAGCCATTTTCTAAATTCTAATGTATCTGATTTTATTATGCAATTTTCTTAAAATAAAAAGTCAATAGTCTAATTTGATTTATCCATTTATAAATAAACAATGTCAATTAAAAATGATATTGAAGAAAAGATTAATTTTGAATTAAATTGGATAAATAATTCAAACATTAATTCACCTTAATGGAAATTTAAACTAGATTAAATCTCTATTATGAATAAGTAGATTTTAGATGCAAATAATAATTATGAAGCTATTTTAACATTGAATTCATAATTTATTTCATTTCCTAAAGAAATAATTGATAAATTTATAGAAGAGTTAAATAAACCTTCTCAAAATATTTCATGTTGGTATGCTGATTCAGAATTTTATGTAATTGGATGCTCAGATCCAAAAAATGGAAAAGGTTTAGGTTTAAACATGATATTATCCATATAAAACATCTAAATAAAACTAACTAATTTAATAGGAACATGTAAAAAATAAGAATGTTAATTAAAAATTAAATGCTCATCTTCAAAAACTATCTTTTTAGGAGAACCATTTTTTTTTTAAGATAAACCAGTTCTTTTAAATTATGAGACAGGATAGATTGGAATTTATAAAGAAAAATTATATAATAAATAATAAGATGATTTGTAATTTGAAAACTTAGGAACTTGGGTTGTAATTTTAACAATTATACTGATATTGATATTTTGTTTAATGAATATTAAACATGCTGTAAAATGGTTTATAAGAGCAATAAAATATAGAAAAGTAATAATTATTTGATATTCTATTTAGACTAAAAACTTTGATGATGAATAATAATTGAGAAGTAAAGAAGTTGAAATTAATGAGATGGAGAAGGCAGAATAAATGACTTAATCAATTGAAGAAAATAGTATTTGAATAGTTCAATTGAAATATTTGCCATAAAATATATAAATTTTAATTATGCCTAAAATATCATCAGATAAGAAGTTATTCTTTAAGCTTCTGGGAAAAGAATTAAATGAAGAAGAATTAGAAGAGTTACTTTTTAGATTTGGTATTGAAGCAGAAGAAAGAGAGGAAGAACCAGATCTTTTATATTTTGAAATAGCTGCCAATAGACCAGATTTATTATGTATTGAGAATTTAGTGCATGCATTGAGAGTATATATGGGAATGGAAAAAAAAAGAAACTTTAACTTTACTCCTGCAAAAGAAACGATTTATGTAAAAGCTGCTGTAATTTTAATATCAATAATTTATAGACTTAATAAATAAGACCATTTGTTGTTGGAGCAATACTAAGAGATGTTAATCTAACAGAAGATAGTTTTAAATCTTTTTTATCATTTTAAGATAAAATACATTAAAATTATGCAAGAAAAAGAACTTTAGTTTCAATAGGAACTCATGATTTAGATAAAATAGAAGGACCATTTTATTATGATGCATAATAACCTTAAGAAATTGTATTTTAAGCATTAAAATAAAATGAAAAGATGAACTGTATTGATTTATTTAATAAATTAAGAGTAAATAATTTTACTTATAATTTTAGGAAGATTAATATTTGAAAGGTTATTTGAAGATTATTGAGAATTCTCCTGTTTATCCTGTTATATATGATAATCAAAAGAGGGTATGTTCATTACCACCAATAATAAATGGAGAACATTCGAAAATGTCAGCAGAAACTAAAAATATATTAATCGAAGTTACAGCTGTAGATGAATAAAGAGCTTTAAATACTTTAAATTGTTTAGTTAGTGGATTTGCCATTTATAATGAAAATTTAAATATTGAAAAAGTTAATATTGTCTATGAAGCAAATAACAAATAAATTATTACACCTATTATAGATGAAAGAACTCTAACAACAAATATTTAATATATTAATAAAGTTTTGGGAATTAATATAAGTAAAAAAATAATAATAATTTTAGCAACCTAACATGCAAGTGAATTATTATCAAATATGGATATAATAAGCGTTGCTAAAGATGAAAATATTTTAGAATGCTAAGTACCATTTTATAGAAGTGATATTCTTTAATAATGTGATATTGCTGAAGAAATAGGAATTGCATATGATTATAATAAAATAGAATTTAAAGTACCAGAAACAGCCACCACTGGATCAGAATATAGATTAAATAAATTGTCAGATATGGTAAGAGAAGAAGTAGCATTATGTGGTTTTGTAGAATGTTTAAATTTTGTGTTAATGTCAATTGATGAATAAACAAAAATGTTAAATAGACCTAATCTATAAAATTATGTATCCATTAATAATTCAAAAACTCCATAATTTTAAACTGTAAGATCTACTCTTATTCCTGGAATTTTACATACTTTATAAGCTAATTCAGATAGCAAATTACCAATCAAATTATTTGAAGTTTCAGATGTTTGTGTAAAAGGTATGAAATCAGAAAAAGATGGATTCTAAAAAGGAGAAGGATAAGTTGGAGCTTATAATTAAAGAAATTTAGTTGCTATTCATTCTAGTAGTAAAAAAAGTGAATTAGAAATCTTGCATGGATTATTAGATTAATTAATGATTAAATTGAGAGTGAAAAAAACAGATTATTATTTGAAATAATCTAATGGTATATTTTGATCTTTTATTTAGATCCTTTGTTTTTCCATTAATTATAGGCAGAAATAATATATAAAGATTAGTCAATTGGAGGATTAGGAGTAGTCCATCCAGAAACACTTGAAAGATTTGATTGGAAATATCCTGTAACTTTATTAGAAATGAACATTCAGGTTATTTTAAATGATTTCTGAAATATTATGATAAATCATTAAATGAGAAATTATATCAAATACTTTCATCTATATTTCTGAATGAAGTATTTGGCATCCTATTCATTGATTTATTTATTCTTATTGATTTTAGTTTCTCCTTTATATTTCTCTTTTTATTATCATCAAATTAATTTAGACGATACTTTTTCAAATTCTCCAAAATATTCATTACATTAAATTAAGGGAAATAGAAATCATAATTTTTCATTTTATCTATATCAATTTCAGGGATGAAATATATAGTACCGTGAGTTTATTATTATTAATTCTTTTCATTCTCACTCTCAACACAATGACTATTGTTTGCTATTTTCATAGAATTATGAGTAGTTTATTATATATTTATAGTACCTTTTTAAGGCATTGAAGTTTCTGTTTTAGCTTATGGATTAATAACTGAAAATCTTATATTACTTTAAGAATAAGGAGTTGGATTTTATTTTATTGTATTATTAGTTAGATTATAGTGATTAGAATTTGCAATTGAAATAGCATATTCTTTAAGATCAATTTGAACTTCATTTTCAGTCTTACGTTAATATTGAATAAAAGGATTTTAAAGAGCTCCATTTGAATCATCATCTTAATTTTAATTTAAATTTTAGTTTTTGATAATATTAACATTTTATTAACCTAATCCAGTCCTAAATTTTTAATTCATTAAACTTCCTCTCATTTTTTCAATCTAATTAGATCCTTTTCTTTGAGCTATAGAATAATTATCTGGTTAATGAGAATCTTATGATTAACTCTCCTAAGATTAATGAGACTTCTCACATAATCCTCCTTAAAATTCAAACCCAAGCTTAACAAGATATGATTCATTTAATTACCTAAATTTATATATATTTTTATTTACTCTTCATTTAAAAACCCTTAATTTAATATAAAATCAATCCCTTTATTTAAGATATTTTAATGGTCGATTAATTTTGAACTAGTGGTTATTTCTCTATCAAATCTCATTCTTGGTTAAAAATAATTGATATTTGCATTTCTTACAATTTTATAAATATTTGTTTGATAAAATACAAAAGGACAATCTTTATATCTATGAGTCCATTTACATACATCGCATGTTTTACCATATGTTTTTTAAAATGTTAATTTATCTTTCAATTAATAAAATTTTTATCTACATTCTTCATCTTCTTAAATCACTTACAAAAAATCATTTCTATCTATATACACAATTGATAACACTGTTTGAGCTTTAAAATAAAATTAATATGATGAATTTATAATAAATTCTTATTCTCCAATTATATCTCCTCTTTAATATTATCTTTAAATCATAGCAGAATTAGATTCTTTTTCATTCTTTTAAAGTGCTTCAAGTCCTTTAGATATAAAATAACTATTAACTTGACCATCTAAAATAAATATTAATTTTGTAGCTGCATCATAAACATTAACTATATCAAATCCTGGTGCAAATGTAGCCTATTTAATTTTTTAACATAAATTATTAATTAGATTTTCTGGAATATTCTCTTTTAAAAATTTAGATCTCATTAAAATTGGTTTGTAGATATCAATTAATACTTCCTATTTCAATGATCCACTCAACTTATTTAAAACAGAATCATCTTACTCTTATAATTATTCATCTATTTGATGCTTAAATTCAAAATATTTTCTCACTTTAAGAGATAATTGTAAATTTAATTTCTTTTATTTTATATATTAGTTTACTTTTTTCATAGACTTTTTCAGTAAAGCTTGTTTCTCTTCTAAAGTTTTTAAAATTTCTCCGATAGTTGAAATAATATAACCAAAAACACCACATAATACCATGGCTACAACAATTACATAAAGTCTTTCAATTGAAGTTTAAGGTACAATATCTCCATAACCCACTGTTAAAGTTGTTATTACACTCCAATATAAAGATACTATATATCTATCATACCATTATTATTGATAATGGCCATAATATATGAGCCAGCTTTTTTCATCTTAATAAACTTCATATTCAATTCTACCCAAAAGATGCCAACCACAACTACACATATGAGCAACTAAAACCAAAAAATATACTAATTTTCCTAATTCAATCACAGCTTAAACTTCTTCTTTTGCATTTAAAAGATCTTCTACATTCTGTATCATTGATCTTACTCTTGCTATTCGTAATAGCAAAATGAACTATACATAAGGTATATTAAATTATGCTAAAATAAATGGTATTGCTATAAGTAAATCCCAAATGAAATTGTTTGATATATAATGAAAAAATATATCACTTCGATTTGTATGAATAACTCCTTAATTATAATATGCAGTATTAAAGTTTAAAAGAATTTCTATAATAAAAATATAACTAGGAATAGTTTCAAATAATAATGTAGATATTTGACTTGATTTATCCAATTCAAAGCTAAGACTCATAGGTATAAAAAATATATTTATTACTATGAAACAAACTACTACTGTATCCCAAATTATTTTAAATGAACTTTCAGGGTAAATGATTGTTATTTTATTTAAACTTTGGCTTATTAAATTCGAAAATTAAAAAGTTTAGAAAGTTATTTTTTTAACCAATTGACATAATAAACCATTTTATTTTTATTTTTGATTTACTTTCTTAAAATTTTCAAAATCAGAGCTTTTATCCCCTAATTTATTAAAAATCTCATTATTCATTAACTTTATTTTTAATTTGTCGGCTTTGGTTTTCAATTAGTATAAGAATCTCGCAACATATTTTATAATTTTAAAACCTCCATTCGACCAAACTTTATTCAAACTCTCAATTAAAAAAAATACCTTACCCTTAACTAAAATGCATACTAGCTTGCATATAATAGCCATCTTAACTTTAAAAAACCTATTTATTACTTGGGGATTAAACTTTTACTGTTGGAATCATAGAACTTCTTGATTGTATAAACTCAATAAAGTTTATATCTTTGCTTTATTTATAAATTGTATTTTATTACTTTTCTTAACTTAAATTGTCAGCTTAATCAAGAAGAGAATGTTATTTATTAATTTGATGTAATTTCGATTCATTTTCTGTACTAAATATTTATCTTTTAGTTGTGATAAGTGTAAATGGTTCGCTTTCAACATTTTAAGATGAAATCATACTGAGATTATTGAGAATATAACAAACAATAATTAATATTGAAAAATAATATATAAAAATTTAAATTATATTAATAATATGGAAATTGAAAAATGGAAAACTCAATGCAGATATCTTTAAATTGAATTAGATTCTATGAAATAATAACTATAAGATGCTAAAGATCTAATAAGATTGAATAAAGAATAATTAAAAATTTGTTACAATCCATAATTATTTGACTAGAGTTCTGAGTGTAAAGCTGCATTGGTTTTATTAAAATTCGTTTAAGAGGAAAATTAAATTTTAATGAAAAAAATTGAATAATTAAGCGATGAAAGAAACTTAGCTTTTGATAAAGTAAACCGATATTTTATTATGTTAATAGGCCTTTATTTCTGAGTAAATTAATGAATCAAATTAAAGAGTAGAATCTTCAATGATTAATAATTTAAATCGTACAATCACAGAATTAAAAAAGAAATTGAATGAGTAGGTTTAGATGTCAAATGAAATGATGGGAACAATTTATTTAGAAAAACATGTAGTTTCAAAATTATTTTTGATAGTTAACTTAACCAGAATAATTGACTTTGAGTTTTAATAATGTAATTCAATAAATGAATTCAATGCTATTAAAATAGAAATTACAAATAGAAGAATTAGTTGAATAAAAAAATGATTTAGCACAATTAAATTTTAGTTTATCGAATGAAATTTTAAAAATGAGAACTTAAAGATTCACTCCCAGAAATTAGACAAAAACATTTTGTAATTATAAAAAATATTTTTTAATCTAGTCAGTTAAAATGAAGATCCATCAAAGTTCATTAATAATTTAGTATAATGTATGAATTTTATATTATATTTAGTATAAAAGAGATTATTTTTTGATGATGATTCATAAGATGAAAAAATGCAAATGCAATAATCTGCTGTTTTCTCTCCTCTTTTCTCTCCAACATTACCATAAAAAGTAAAAAGATAATAAAAATCACACATCCCAAAAGATTTCAAGCAAGAACCAGAAAAATACATACCTAAACTTGATTTAACTAAGGCTTAATAAATATAATAATTTAATATTAAAAGAATGTAGTTACTTGCCAATAAACTGGCAAATGAAGGTGTTGAATAGAAAATTTATATGTAATTATGTAATCTTAATAATCAAGGTTATAAGATGAATTATTAAGAACTAAAAATAAATATCACGCTTAATTAGTGTTGAATTAGCAATTAGATTTATAATTAACAGAACTGAATCTTTAAATGATGGAATCATAGAATGTGAATGAAACATTAATTAAATCGAATTAAATGTATGAAGAAAAATGGTCAAACATATATTCATAGTTTTCATTTTATAAAGAGTTTTATCTTAAACATAAAGATTAAATATAGCATAATTTATAATCATTTGCTACATCTGATGATCAATAATAATTTAGTGTCTTTGAATTTGAGAAAGTATTGAACTCTTCTAAAATTTACAAAAAGAATACTACTTAAAAAAATAACATAATCAATAATCCTGGTCTTAGTATAATTAATTATTAAGATGATACAATTTAATAAATATCTTGTAGACTTCCTACAGATAGGTAAGAAGAAGTCAATAAATTCTTAACTTAATAGTATAAATGTTGTTTAATGATGATGGCAAAAGAGGTAATCTCTTTAGATTGTCAAAATGTTAAACCTATTTCAAATGACCATAACAAAGTCAAAATAAAAAGAAGTTATAGCAACACTATAGAATATTTTCCAGTCTTTTGATGCCCCATTATTTTATGTGTCTTATCATAGTTCTAACTAAATAATTCAATTAGATATAAATTTTACAATATTATTAATAATACAATTTAACAATGAGCAATTAAGAAGAACACATACTCTGTTTTAATATCAAAACAACTAAATAATAAGCAATTAGCATATCTGTTTTATACACAATTGTTGTAAGTTTATTTTTTGGATCTTTGTTAATTTTCCTATGGAATCAAAGGACCAATATCATTTTAAGAGAACGTAGCTGCTACATTCTTATGATCTAAGCTATCACAACTTATGGCTTTGTTATTTTATATCCGATAGCTGTACTATTATCATCAAATTATTTATATGATGACATCAGCTATTATACAATTATTTTGTATTATTTAAAATTTTATAAGCTTTATAGCTTAATTTAAGTACATTCCAATTTTATGCTATTTGTTCAGGGCTTGCAGATTTTTTTATGCATTCCAAAAGCCATGGAAATTCTTTAAACTCAAGAAAAGTAGCTTAATATTTACTATGATCATTTGTTGTATTTCTATTGGACTTCTTGAAACTTTTACTGAATTCGACCTAAATATTTTTCTATAGTAAGACAATTCTTCATAAAAAATTCAAAAAATAATGCCAAGAATCACTTTTATTTATATGTCACAACTTATTTTGATTCTTGCAATATTTTTTATGAGAAAAGTTAATGTATAAAAAATTAATAATTTTAGAAATTTTAGTAATTTGATTATTGGATAGCATTTGCAATTGAAATTCTTTAATTTTTAGTTAAAGCATTTTTGAAAAATTAGTTATAATTTATTGAATGTAGTTCCTCTCATAAAATTCCATTATTTTATTACATTGATTGTTTCAAATTATCCTTTATGTTAATTTGTTCAACAATTTTACCATTATATTTTTAACATAAGTCTATAACAGAGTTACCATTCGAAATGGAATGTTCTACATTTGGATTATTTATAACTTAACCTTAATTTATTAAATTATTTTATGATTACTTATGTTATTTTGATAAAACTAAATCAGAAAAAATTTTATATGATGATACACGATAAGTTTAAACAAATCTAAGAGTCAACAATAATTATACTACTTTATTTGAAAATGAGTAATAATTTAACTTAAATAAATCCTAATTATCTAAATGCTTTATTTCCTATATTAATTTTTCTCTATGGCTAGAATAAGAATAAAAAGAGAATAATCTTCAAAATGAAAATGAATAATTAATTCTTTCAGAATTTTAATTTTTCTAAGAACTCATCTCAGAATAAGCTATTTCAAAGTTGTCAACTGCAAAATATAATATATAACTAAATAATTAAAATATAAATGATTCAGGAAAATTGGATTAATCTCAAGAATAAATCAATATAAATAAAATTGAAAAAATTTGGTTATATAGAGAAATTCTTTATGAAATCTTAAAAGAAGTGTTTGAGTAACACTTTAAATTTACCAAATCATACTAATCATTATATAATCATTGTGAAAGAAATAGAAAAATATGGCTTAGATTAGGAGAAATTGGATTGACTGGATAATGTAAATGATATGTAATATAATAATTAAGAAATTGTATTAAATTTTTATTACTACTTTTATATATATAATTCTTTATAAAAAAACCAAAGAATAATATCCTTTTTTAAAAATAAAATGAGTATTTTAATGAAAAATTATAAAATTAATGTGCCTATTTGAATAATATAATTAATTTAAAGTATTTATTTTCTTACAATTAATATAATAATTTGATTTCGTAACATTAAACAATTAAATTAAGAATTCTTTCAAGTTCAAAATATATTTGTAAAGTAAAATGTTGGAATCGATAGAAAAGGATAAAATTCAAAAATTTTAGCATATAGGTAAGCTTCTATATTGCTGTTTTTTTTGTATGCTATGCTATTCCTTTTAGATTGCAGGAAAGAACATAACCTACAATATTTATAACGAAGTATTGATATATTGGTAAATCGACTTTTAGGCTAATTTAACTTTTATTTATCCTATGCAATTTGGTATAAGTCATTTTATATCTCCTTTTGCTTTGCTCTTTGTGGATGCAATTATATCAAATTTTAGAATGGGTTTCGTAATATATTTAGGGACTTTTAATGCATTTACATATTTATTAGGTTCATTAATGGTTGCATCTTGCAGTGGAGAATAGTATTTTTATTGCAATGTAAATTTTATAAATTATTAAGTCATATACTTTAACAATCGTGATTGGGATTGAAACATTTTTTGGAGGAATAGCTAATTGTATATTCTATGTTTCTTATGCAGTATATGCAAATTCTTTAACTAACTCTTACAATAAATAATTATACCTAGGCATTGCATACTCTATATTATCAACATGTTAAGTCTTGGGAAATACTATTGGTATGTAATAAATATATACTAGGATATTTATTTTCAAATACAGTTTCCATATTCCATTACTATCTTTATTTAGTAATTGGTATTTTAATTGTTTAAGTTTTTCTATTATTTGTATAAGATATAAGACCTAAAAATGAAAAAAAATCAGTAATAATTAGGTAGCTAATAAAATAATAATTAAATTAACTAAAAATAGCATTTTCTTATCCTAAATTTTAATCTTTGATACCATATACACTATTTTCATCGATGGTATTATATATTCAAATCATATTAGCTTTAAGGTTGTTACTTTAATGTACTTCCAGTTCTTTTAAAAGGAGTTTTAGGTAAGACAGATAATTAAAAATCATTTATGATGTTTTTTTTTGGAGGCATCGGGTCTCTATTAGGAGGGTTTTTTAGTGGTAGAATTGGACATTGGACTAATTTATTTAATGTTGGATGGTTTTAAAATTTATTGGTATGCATATTTTGTGTTTAATCTTTATATGCATATAATGAAAAAATTTTAGTCATGACATATACAAGTGGATTTAATTTAGGATTAACATATTCTGGTTTAGAAGCATTACATGCAATGATGATTGCAAAATTAATAAATAAAGAAAATTTTTATTATGTTGCCAATAGTGCTGTTAATGTATGATTATTTTTATAAAAATTAGAGTCTTGCTTCAACTCTTTTATCAATAGTTTTTATATTTCTAAGTAAAACTACATTTATGTATTATTTTTACTTTATGCTATTATTAATTATTCTGAATATCATATTTCTATTTACATCTTAGAAAAAGTTCTAAAATATTAGATAATTAACCCTTATTAATACAGAACAAACCGATTCCCTCACAAAAGAGTGAACTAAAATTATATTAATATCTAAAAAATTTCTAAATATAGTTTTTAAATATATTAAATAAAATATGAAAAATCTCTAATTAAATAAATAAGCTTCTATTTTTTTAAAAATCTTCGTCTAAGTTATATATTTAATTAAATCTAAAAGTATGATTTTGCCAATAATGATATAATGAAATCATTTATGTTAATTATTTCATGAAAAATTGAAGCTGTAAGTGTGGGAAATGAGCGATAATTATGTGTTGTAGATACATTAATAAGATGATGTGATATCAATTTCTTTTATAAACTTCGTACTGGTTTAGATACAATATTAAGATAAATTATTACAAAGAAATATTTAATTTAGAAATTGTTATGCAATCATATGATTATCAATACTTAAGAGCAGATAGAAAGCATGAATTAAAGATTAGAAATATTTGTATCTGACTAATTTAAATGTTTATTAATTGAAAATTATTATTTGAAATTTTAGTAAACGATGTCATTATTTATCAAAATGTTTAAGAAAATTGTATATTCTATTTAATAAGATTTTTTCTCTTTTTGAAAAACTAGATAATATTTTGAAAGATAAATATTAAATAGATTTCTAAATTAACAAAAAGAAATAATAAATTAAATTTCAGCTCTTTTGAATATATATTTATTCATTTTAGTAGAATTTAATAGAAAATTAATAGATAATTTTTCATTGATAATTTATTTGTAAGTTTTATTTTATTAAAAATCATTAATCAACAGAAAAATGTTAATTAGTTTAGAATTTAGATGAATTCTAATTAGTAGCTGATTAATTGACCAATTTTTGTTTTGTTTCATGCAAAGGGTTAAATGGTTTAAGAATGGATAGAGAAGTTTTTAATAACTAAAATAAATTAAAAAAATGAATACTTTCCTTTTAGAAAAAAGTGTACAAGTAAATCCTAATTTCATAATAAATCTTTGTAAATGACTGCAAACAATATTAAATCCACATTATTTATGAGTTGCAAACACTTTTTAATAAAATCCTTTAAATTCTTGAAAAGTGATTTAATCTTTAGGATTCTTTTTATAGAAACGTTTTAACATATCTTAAATAGCTGTAGCTCCTTTAGTTTTTTAATTGGTCATACTATTATGGAGTCTTTTCATAAAATTTTCTGATTATAGATCATTTTATTTAAATTATTCTAAAGGTTAACCAGCATTCTCATTTGCTATAATTTATTTTGCTAATTCTTCATATCCCAAATCTTCATCTTCAGATTTCATAAATTCTTCCATTCTTAAAACTTATTCTTATTATTATAAAAACTATTTTTCTAATTCTCCTTTAGATTTCAAGAAAATTTCACTTTTTTCAGAATTTGCTTGATCAGCAATTTCAATTGAATTCTTTTAAGTTAACTAACCTATTTTACTATCTAAACTTGTTTTAGTTAAAGGAGGTTCAAATTAATTCAAATCTAATAAAGATTATAATTTTTATTTGCCTTAAGAATCAAGTGATCTTTAATTTTTAATTTGTTTTTATCTAAATGATTCTTATGATAAGCGAGAACTATGAGGAGATGTAATTTCTAATTATTATAAATATTCTGAGCTTAAATTTCCAGTTTAATGTATAATTTAACTTTGATTCAATGCAATAGCAACAGCAGTTTCTAATTTCTTTGGTAATTGTTAGATCATATTTTATTTAATATTCATAGGAAGATCTAATTAAGAGATTGTACTTTATATTAATTACATCAATAACTAATTTTCAGTCTATGTTTCTTAATCAATATGTCCTAAATATACATATATAATAGTAAATACTTTGATGCCAGTAGGTTGTAAATTATTGTTAATCTTCATCATTCAACTTGATAATCATCTATAACTATTATGGTACTGATGTACTGGATCTTTTTATAGGAGAGCTTCCATTAAATTTTAATTAATCTTTTTTATGTCTTAATTATTAATCTGTTTCTTCAATAGTATTTTATTATTTTAAGCTAAATTTATCTAAACTTTATTAGGATGTAATATTAGAAGGAATTTCTTCAACAGTTGCAATCATTTAAATATCAATAGATTTTTTTACTTATACATTTTTACTTGATGTTTATTATTATACTTTCTTAATAGTCAATTTTTTTTAATCTCTTTATGTAGTACTTCTTGAAAACTTAACTTTAGAATTTCCATTTTCTGATTCACTATCTTCGCTTTCTTAAAATTGTTCTTAACCCTCTGTTTAGATTCTCCTTCCATTAACATTATTCTTTTTATCTACTGATTTAATTCTTTTCGGTTTATTAATAGCTTATCCAGATTATGTTCTTTAAGTTTCAAAATTAGTAGCTGCTTATGATTCATCTTATTCTTTAATTGAATTTTAATTTTTAAAAAAATCTTTAGATGCTACTTCTAAAGTAGTTTATCTTCTAGTCACTTTGTTAGAGAAAGCTTGCTTTTTAATTTTTTATTTTTGTAATTCAGCAGATTAATTTAATGTAGAATCTTCCTCTTCTATTTTAAGAATAGATTTTTATTTTTTCTTTTTTGGATTAAAATTGGTTTAACTTGTTTATAAAGATACTTTAACAGATCTTTCAGAATTAGATAAAGGACTATTAGTTTATCTTGTTTCAACTAAAGTTGAAGTTTTATTTTTTAAAGTTGCTTTAACAGTATTAGAATGTGTTGGAGATCTTTCAAATCCCATATCATCTAATCTTTCTCTATTTGATACTTCACTATTTTTATATATTTGCTAAGAAGAATCTAATCTTTAATCAATTGAGAAACCATCTTCATATTATTAATTTTCAAAATCTTAAGCAGATTTATATCTACTAGTTTATCTAGGTGTTCCAACTTATGAATTTTAAATATTTTAATCATCACTTTTATCTTAAAATTCTGTATTCTGTTATTTTAATTCCCTTCCTGAACTTGGACTAATTTTATTTAATTCATTTTTAAGCTAATATACTTTTTGTTAAAATTATTAATTATCTTTTTATAATTTTGAAATTAAATTTTATTAATTAATATCAGTACATTAGATAGCTTAATCTTAAAAATTCTTAGAATTCAAAGATGTTAATTATTTTTCCATTTTCTTAAATTCATAATTTAATTAAGCTTTCTCTTATTCTGATCTACTTACATTTAATTTCATTGATTCTAATTCTAAAGATGTTTAAATATATTATGTTTCTGCTTGTCTAACTTTATTTTATAATTCAAATATCTCTTAATTCTTTTTATCAACTTCCAATTTCTTCTCTATTAATTCTTATCTTATTTTATCACTTACTTAAGATTCATCAGCTGAACTTTAATTACCTCTCTTTGATGAACTTAATTTATCTTTTTTATGTTATGGTTATTATACTTAAAGAGTTCTGCTTTTTAATAATTCATCCTGTTTTTATTTTTATTGCATTTATTAAAATACTTTAGCAACAATCTTAAATGTCTCTGATTATATATCTTTATAATTATGTGTAACATGATATAGAAATTCATCTAAGATATCTTTTGCAACTTAAGGTTCCTATTTAGAAGCCTCTATCATCAATTAATCCATTTCAGTTGTTTTAGTATAAATTGTTTTATAAATTGATTTTAGTTTATCAGTAGCTGATGATTCATTAACTTAAGTGAATTCATGTTTTTCTTACATAACTTTTTATATCTCTTCTATATTTTTCAAATTTTCTTTAGTAATCTCTTATAATTTAATTTCTAAATAATCTCTATTAAATCCTCTAATTGCTTCTTAAATATCTAAGTTAGTATCTGTTCCTTCACTTAACATCAATGTTATTTTTGGATCATAACGTTTCATTACTATTTATACATTCAATTTATTGCCTTATCTTAACACTTCTTATAAAATCTCTCTTTAATTATCATCTATTTCATAATTAGTTTTATGTTTATATTCTGTTTAAGTTTATCCAGATATTGATGGTAAACCTGTTTATTATCTACTCATTTATTTCATCTGATTTTTTGTCTAAGGTGTCTAATAAGCTGATACTCTTACTCCTCCAAATTAACCTATTTCACCTATACCATCTTTCATTTATCTTTTAGCTTATGATATCAATTCCAATTTTTATTAATAATCACTTGATTCATTCTCAAACTCATTAACTAATTTACTATTTGAAACAGTTCTGTATAATTCTTTCCAAACTGACGATAATTTATTCACTATATGACTATATTCATTTAAATCTCTTGATTGCAATAAGAATCCTATTTCGTTAGCTGCAGCATCCAAATTATTTGATATCGTTTATAAATTTGCTTATACACCCTATTTTATTATTGATTTATTCAATCCTTGCAAGAATTATTGTAACTTCTATATACTTTAATGTTCTGCTTAACCCTATTGAATTTATTGCATTTTATGTAATATTAATAAATAACAAAACAAAAAATAATAATTAACTCAAAATCTTTTTATTCTTACTCAAACTTCTAGTATGACCTTTCATATATCAATTTATTGACTTTTATATTGAGGAGTATTTTTATAAATTAATTATAAGACATTATGATTATAAATAATAGATTGGTCTTAAATACCTACTTATTCAAATAGAGTATTCCATGGGATTTCTTTTATCTCATAGATTTTGAGACAATTTCTAATAATGGATTTGGTCTACTCACTTACTTTAAGAATGAAGGCAATTTAAAACAATTTAATATAATAATAGAATTATTTTAGTTAGTCATTAATTCAACTAAATTAGAAAAATGCCAAAGAGTTATATTATAGTGCCTTCCATATAATATTAAACCTAGAGACCATATATATTATATTTAAAAGTATATGATTATCTTTTTAAAATTTAAGGACTCATATAAAGAGGAGTCCCAACTAAAGAACTCTTGATTGTATCAATAAGTGAATCCACATATGGATCAATTCCAATTCTCCATTAGGATCATAAGATTTGCAGGTTTTATATTTCGATGTAATTATTCTTATTTTTAATATGGTTTTTATACCATAAAGAAAATCTTTAAATATAATCATTGCATCAATTTAATCTAACACATAATATTGATTAATACTTTCTTTTTTTTAAATACTCTCTTAAATCTTCTTCATTACAATACTCAGTGATTATGAATGTATTATTCACATTTTACTATACATCAATTAATTTTAACAATATTTATAATTAGTACAATTATTTAATAATCTTATCTGTATTTATATACTATCATTCATATTCTTTCCTGTATAAACTGTTCCATAGGCACATTTTCATCTTTTCATTTAAAAACTAAATTAATAATTTAAAATTTCTTGATGTTAGGTGGATATTGAAGAAAAGATATTGTAATAAAAATTATAATCTAATTTATTCAAATTAATTAAATTTCTAAAAGAAAATTATTCTAATCATTATGTTATAATAATCATAATGTATAATGACAATAGAATTGGACTATAGAATTATTCAATTGTTAAGTCAACACTTAGATCTGGAATTTATTTTTTACCTTTTTTGCATTATCCAACTAAAGATTCATAATAGCATTCATCAATTCTATTGTTGCATTCTTCTGATTCAATAATTTTAACACATTCCTTAACACATCCTTCAGTTTTAATATTATTTTCTGTAATTTAAGAACTCCAATAACAACGATCCGATGCTTGTAAACACTATTCTTTATTAAGAAAAGAAGAACATTAAATAGAATGACATTTTCCATTGAAATAAGAGCAAACATTAGTCTATTTATCACAGAAACATTTTTCTGTTATTTGTTCACATTGTTTACAAATCAATTCACTAAATAATACACAAGAATAACCATTCATTTCATTTCCTTAACATAGAGTTGTAGAAGGTCCATATAATCTATTAAATAATAATTAAATATTACTCGCATGGTTAATTGGTACAGATTTCTGTATCATCTAATAAAGCAAATTTTTACCAATTACACTTAAATCCATTATAAGTAAGTTGATTACAAACAGTTAAAGTTTAATCTCCAAAAATATCTTAAGAAATATATGAACATGATGGTAATTATTAACACATTTTATTTTAATCTAAAAAGCATCCTTCTACTTAAAGACATTCATCAACTTTATAGTCTGTGCAAATTTTCTTTCTACAAATACCAAATTCATAAAAACANTTTATATTTCGATGTAATTATTCTTATTTTTAATATGGTTTTTATACCATAAAGAAAATCTTTAAATATAATCATTGCATCAATTTAATCTAACACATAATATTGATTAATACTTTCTTTTTTTTAAATACTCTCTTAAATCTTCTTCATTACAATACTCAGTGATTATGAATGTATTATTCACATTTTACTATACATCAATTAATTTTAACAATATTTATAATTAGTACAATTATTTAATAATCTTATCTGTATTTATATACTATCATTCATATTCTTTCCTGTATAAACTGTTCCATAGGCACATTTTCATCTTTTCATTTAAAAACTAAATTAATAATTTAAAATTTCTTGATGTTAGGTGGATATTGAAGAAAAGATATTGTAATAAAAATTATAATCTAATTTATTCAAATTAATTAAATTTCTAAAAGAAAATTATTCTAATCATTATGTTATAATAATCATAATGTATAATGACAATAGAATTGGACTATAGAATTATTCAATTGTTAAGTCAACACTTAGATCTGGAATTTATTTTTTACCTTTTTTGCATTATCCAACTAAAGATTCATAATAGCATTCATCAATTCTATTGTTGCATTCTTCTGATTCAATAATTTTAACACATTCCTTAACACATCCTTCAGTTTTAATATTATTTTCTGTAATTTAAGAACTCCAATAACAACGATCCGATGCTTGTAAACACTATTCTTTATTAAGAAAAGAAGAACATTAAATAGAATGACATTTTCCATTGAAATAAGAGCAAACATTAGTCTATTTATCACAGAAACATTTTTCTGTTATTTGTTCACATTGTTTACAAATCAATTCACTAAATAATACACAAGAATAACCATTCATTTCATTTCCTTAACATAGAGTTGTAGAAGGTCCATATAATCTATTAAATAATAATTAAATATTACTCGCATGGTTAATTGGTACAGATTTCTGTATCATCTAATAAAGCAAATTTTTACCAATTACACTTAAATCCATTATAAGTAAGTTGATTACAAACAGTTAAAGTTTAATCTCCAAAAATATCTTAAGAAATATATGAACATGATGGTAATTATTAACACATTTTATTTTAATCTAAAAAGCATCCTTCTACTTAAAGACATTCATCAACTTTATAGTCTGTGCAAATTTTCTTTCTACAAATACCAAATTCATAAAAACAATTAGAATTGGAACAATCTGAATAAGGGCAGAATAATTCAAAATTTTTAGATGAAATACATTAATCATGTCCTTAAATACATGGTACTTAATTAATATAAATTGATTAACATGGTTAACTAGAATCTATAATATCTTCACATTTAATAGCAGGAGAACATCCATTTGAAGAATTAATATAACAAGTTTTTCCATCCATAGTTCCTTTGCATTATTCATTATTTAAATGATAACATTATTTTTTAATACATTTAGTTTTAAAATATGTGCAATTTGGATTATTTTCACAATCTTTTGGACGTTCTATTTAACAATGTTCTTATTCTTAATCTGATTTACATTTACAATCAAGATTATCTGAATTCCATTGACATAAAGTATTGCTATTACAAATATTTTTATTAATTCCTTGAATATTACATAAATCAACAGTAAGTAAAGGACTTTAACATTTTTTATAAATAACATCATACATACAATTCTAGTCTTTCAAAGAAGAACAAGCCTTAGCATTTACATTTGAAATAGTCATACAAGGTGCTGTAATGTCTGTAAATTATTAACATTTATTTTCTTTATAAATACAAGGTTCAGTAATGACTTAAGTGCATCCTAATAAATTTAATCCTTCTGTATCACAATTTAATGTATTAATATTAAATTTACTTGAACATGAATTTGTTTTAATGTTATAAATACAAGCTTTGTCATTTACACTTTAACATGCAAGTGAATTAACTTATGATTTAGAATCACAATTGATAATTGTTTTCAGTTCTTCACATTATGTTCCATTCCAAATAGTACTTATTTCTGTATTTTATAGACATGCTAATTTAGATATACCAGTTTCTAAACTATTTTTAACAGAATCTTTGCAAGTGTTTGTATCTGTATCATAAGAACAAGCAAGTAAAGTTTGCATTTAACAAACAAATGGAGACACTTGATTAAAATCAGAACATTTTTTTTGATTTGTTCCTTAATATCCAGCACAACTATTAGAGGTTTCATTCCAATAACATCCTTCATTAGAAATAGCAAGACAAGTCTTTTTACTAATTCCTTATGATAAACATCTAATTTTATCTAAACTCATATTCACACATGAATTCTATAAATATATGCTATTCTCACTATATTGAATACAAACATTAATATTAACATTAGTCATTAAGTTGTATTAAGAATTCCATATCATACATTTACCTCTCCAAATACAATATTGATTTGAAGTCTTGATATTTAAACAACCCCAAATATTTAATGTATCTGTGCATAATGAACTATCAAATGATGTAAGTGTTTTACAAGTATTCAACCAAACGCATGCTTAATCCTTTTTACGAGATCGAATACAATCCTCCTTTGTCTATAATTCTTCACATAAACTTGTAAGTAATGGAGATTAATATTCTTAAGTCTAATTACTAAGTAAATCTTTGACTTTTTCATAATCATCTAAGTTATGTTTTATTCCTTATGAAGGTGCACACTTACCAGTTTAAACATTAAACTAACAAGGGTCCTTAGCATTAGAACTACAAGCTGGTGAATTTATATTCGAAGGTAAATCTTTACAAAATAATTTATTTATTAGTTTCTTAAAATCTTAACAAGAATTATTTATCCATTAACATTCTATTTCATTACTATTCAAACAACTAGATTAATTTAAGAATCTTGTACATTCTACTTATACTTTATCTATGCAACTATTTTAATTCCATGAACAAATTGCTTATGATTATTCACAAGCTTTTTTATTATAATAATCTTCACATGTTGTTGGTATTGTATCTAATTTTGTACATTTTTAAGTAAGTGCATTAAAAAAACAAGCCTCTGTTTATATTGCTTTACAACCTAAGTTTCCATTAAGATTGCTTGCAGAACTGCATGTTGAAAGAGTCTAAGCAGAACACTAATTGTTAACCATATCCCATTAACAGTATTGTTATGCTGTTTTAACTTATAGACAAGCATATTTATTTAATATATCTGAACAAGTTATTTCATATAAATTTGCATTTTCACAATACCCACCACCTCCAATCTCTTTCCAAATGCATGGTACTGTAGTTAAATTGATACAAGAATCTCTGTTTGGCCCAAATCTATTACAACTATTTAATTCTATATCTTATATTGTTGCACACCCATTTTCTTCAAAATTTTTAACACATTTTTCTGTTTAACTTGAACAAAAACTTAATGAAGTTAAATCAAAATCAGTAATGGAACAATCTGTTGATGTTAAATCTAAAGTTATATCCATGCATTCTTTATTTGTATCATCCCATTAACATTATAAATTGGACAATCTTACATTTTAACATGCTCTTTAATTTAAATTATCACAAGAAGTAATTTATTTATTTTCAAATTCAAGAACATGAGAACATTAAGAATTACTCCATTTACAATGAATATTTTTAGTTAGATTTTTCAAACATGCTTCCTTTGATAAATTTAAACAACTTATTTAATAATCTGATTCTCCCAAATCTAAACATTTATCAATAAGATATTTATGTAATCCAGATTATTAAATACATCCATATTTATTAATTGAAGTTCCTGCTGATAAACATTCTGATCCATCAAAGTAACAAGTTTCTTAGATCTAATTACATTCTTTTAAAGTAGTTCCTGCACAAGTATTGTCATAATATTCATGTATAAATTTACATCTATTATCATTGTGTGAATACATGCACTAATTATTACTTACTTATATACAGGCATCATAATTTGATTTAAATAATTCCAAGTCTGAACATTAAATAATGGAAGATCCACTTATACTTTTACATACTTATTCATCAAAATAACATTTTAGATTTAAATTTAAGTGAGTAAGATTTTCAATACAAAGCTTTTTAGGTAGTTTATCACAAGTTAGATCAGAAAAATTGACACCTTAATAACAAAATCCTAAACCACTCTTTGTATATCCATGAATACAATTTTAGAAGTTCTAACAAACTTTATAAGAATATTATCCTAATAATGATGGGCAAATAGTCTATGAATTATCCATATCTTTACAAGTATCATTTTCATATGTGCATTTGTGTTATTTATTTTATACTGTACATAATGCAATATTGGATAAATCTGAACAATTATTTACACTATATGGTTAATATAATGTTTGACATTTTGAATCATAATATATACATTCAGAATATTACAAACAAAATAAATAGTTAGTTTTTTCAAAAAAATCACATTAATTTAAAGTATTATTTATAGAGAAACATTAACCATCTTTCAAAACACATTTTTAATTGTCTGAATTATTACTTTCACAATTCAAAGGAGTATCTTAACATAAAATATTTTAATGGAATTAACATTTGTTATTAAAATAATGACAGAATTGATTAGGTAAATTTAAACATCCATAATAATTTAAACCATCAGTGTCACACGAATATTAATCATATTAAGTTGGATCATCAACTTCCTCACATTAGTTTCCTTATATTCTATAGAATATTTATTTTTAAATAGCAGAACAAATTAAACTATTATCAATAGTAGTAGGAAGATTAGTTGGATCTATAGGTACACATTCCTTAACTTCATTTAAGTAGCAATTACTCACAGAATTACAACTTATTTCATTAAGTTATTCACATATTGATACAATTTGATATTCAGGTAAATACTGACATTGTTAATTTATAAATGCACATCTGCTATTAAGAGTTTGATGTTTGCATGATTATTTTGATAAACCGATAGCATTACATTCTTAATAATTATCTGATGGAGTTGTACAACCATTATCAAAGACACATTCATCCGTAGCAAAAGCACAAGTATTTTTATTGATATCACTAATATTTCCTAAATTAGCACATGTATCTTATATCGTAATGTTTTAACATTTATTATTAATAATTATTTATGAGATATCATCAGATTTTACTTTTTAACAAAATTATCCAGGTGTAGTTACAGATGTACATGCAGCTAAATTAGCTTATTTGCATTAAATAGTATTTAAGAAAATTTTAGTATTCATTGTAGAAACTTCTAATTATGTACATACTTAATTAATGAATGCACACATTATAACTGGTTCTGAACTTATCATACCAGTCATTCCCCCACATCTATGAATATTCATTTTATCTGATTCTGATTCTGATTCTCCACAATCTTCTAAAATTTTTGTATTTATTTAACAAGAATTGTCTGTATATGAACAATAGTTTTCTTTCATAAATTGTCTGCTCATATTTGCTTCTAAAGCTGAACATACTCTAGATGGAGCTTTAGAATACTCCTCACAATTATTAAAATATTCTGTATAGTTCCTACATCTATTTAAATTTGTATCCCAAAAACAATTTTATCCTTTTTTTCGAATTTCTAAACATGCATCTTTACTAATAAAATGTGTTTCACAATCTAATGTTTCTAATAAATATGTATCACTTACCTAAAATTCTATACATTAATTAAACTCTACATCAAAATATGTCATATGATTTTAAATGGCTTAGCAAGCATATCTATTTATATTCTAAGCAAATGTAAATGAATTTTGGAATGTAGGAGAATAACAAGAATGTGTACTATCATCATAAATACATAAGACTTAATAAATTGATTGCATTTTGCAAACTTGATTATTCACTTTTTATAGTGATGTACAACGAATTGAATTAATTTATTCAACAGATATTAATCTACATAATCCAGCAGAATATTAACAGTATTCTCCATTTACTGTTTTCTCAACACATGCTTTTTCTGATAATCCATTTCCAGAACACCCTATTTCACTAACTTCTGATTAATTCTATTCTATACAAGAACTAGTTGCCTAATTATAAACACAAGTTAAGTCAGCATTTGATAATTTTGCTTTTTAACAAAGTTTTTCATTTACATCTATCAAATCTACACATTTCTTTTCTTTTACTTGAGATTCAGAAAAACATTCACAAATCTAAGAGTATTGATTCCAAGCACAATATCCTGAAATATTTTTAATACAATAATTTTTATTAATAGTTTCTAAATTATTATCATCAAATTTATCATTAAATAAACACATTCTGCGATCTTCCTTATATTGGGCTGCAATTATATTATATTTACATAAATTTATATTAGATAAAGTTAAATAATTATCATCAATAAAAATATCATGAGTAATTAATAAAGGTTAATCTAAAATATTTATGCATTTTTATTCCTCATAATTCCAATAGCATAATTAATCACTTAAACTAACCTTTGTACAAACATAAAAATTAAATGCCTCTTCACATTTCATAATTAATATCTAATCATTTGTTAATGTATAACATCTATTTAAAACTTTATTCCAATCACAAACACTCATTATCATCATACATGCTGATTTACCTAAACCTATCTAATTACATATATTAGGTGGAGCAAAACCTAAAAATGGTAATGTTATATCCTCAATTAATTTTTAACATCCTTCACATTTTCTACTCTTATTTTATTAATATTCAAAGCAACAATTATCACATTTATGTGTAGACATATCAATGTAATAGTTTTCTTTCCCCTAACATTTAGAACTTGTAGTATAATCTTTATCTTCTATACTATTTGAATCATCACTATTCACACATGGATATTCATAATCAGAACCTCTTATCTTACATTTATGTTTCAAGGATTAAAAATAAACACATTAAATTTTGTTTAATGAAAGACAATCTAATTGATAAAGTTCTAATTTATCCTAATTATATAAATCTTCCTATGTATAGATTTAACAACTTCCTTTAGAAAAAACGTATTAATCTGTAATAGATGGATTATTGTTCAGATATTTACAATATACATGATTTACACCTTAAACTTCACCAGTTAAACTAAATATATTTGTAAAATCACTATCACTTTCTATTTCTAATGCTATGCATCCCTCTCTTTATCTATAAGTCTTTTACACTATTAAATTTAGTCATAAAAATATACAATTTGATAAAGTAATTGATTTAGATTCTCTAATTATGTACCATGCAAATTTTCCATCATTCATTTTATAATTGTTTTACATAAACACTGTTGCTGGATCATCATAATTTATACTATCATTTACTTCAATTCCCAGTTCTTTTTTATATAAATTATCAGCTTCAGTTAATAAATCTGGTGAATATGATATTAAATTCCAAAGAATTGTATGATGCATAATCAAATAATTCTAAATATGTGAACAAGCAGATGCACTATATAAAATTGAATCAAAATTCTCTTAAATTGAACTCCATTAAGAAGCACCTAAACTAGTGCATTCATCATTTTTCCAAATACAAACAAATTCTGGATTTTAAACTGATAAGCATCCTGATTTTGATAAATTATTATAACATTTCTCTGTTTTTAAATCAGGTATATCTTCACAAATTGTAGTGAAACGACCTAAAATTAATTTTAACTATTACATTTTGCAAGATCTCCAAACACATCTCCAATTTATCTTAGACAAGCTTTCTTATTCAATAATTAACTACATCCTTATAAATAATCATTTGTTTTATAACAAAGATGTCTTATATTATCCCACATACATTTTTCAGAATCACCAGCTATGCATTATTCGTATGTTTGATATTGTTTGCATAAATCAAGGCCTGAACTTGCAATAATAAAAGAAAAAATCAAAAAAGAAATCCTCCAAGAAATCATTTGATTTTAATATTATTTTCATTCTAAAATTTTCAAATTTAATGATTTCTCATTGTATTTTAAAGAACTTACAAATCATGCAAAGATTTGTTGTTTAGAATAACAATATTGATTTTTAAGTCAGAATATTCTTAATTTGAAAAATGTTATTTTTGAAATGAAAATCTTTAATTCAAAATAGTTTATAGTTTATGTATTATTTTTATTTATGATATTAAAATTTAATGCAAATAATTTTCAATACTTTCTATTTGAGGAAATTCTCTGATAAGAAAACCCTGATGTAGTTTCAACTGATTAAATTGCTTACACATTTGTAATTTCATTATTTTGTCTATATTAATTTACCATTTATTATTAAATCTATTTTTCATTGTTGCTTCTTAAGACATCCAACTCTGCTGACATCATTGCAATTAAACATAATAAATCAGTAATTTTATTAGATAAATCTTCATTAGATTAATACATAGAACTATTATATTATATATTTATATTATTATTACTACTAAAATTACCTTATGATCCATTATTATTTTTATCAACAATATTAGTTTTTGCTTTCAATCTTTAAATTTCTAGAGAGAGCATAGCAATTTTATTTTCATATTCAATTATTAATTTTTTTAATCTTTCATATTCATCCAAATCAATACCCAAAGTTTTATTTTATAATTCAGTATATTTTACTGACATTTCTTTTATTTAAACTGTTAGCTAATTAAACTTTTCTTAAATAGGTTATAAAATTCCTGACAATCTTTCATTTTCTGCTGCAATCAACAAATATGAAAGTAAAATAGTATCTCCTGTATCTGCTTTTTTTAAAGCATCTTAAACTTAATTCATCAAAGTTTATTATTAAGACTCTAATAAATCACATCTTTCAATTGTTTAAAGTAATTCTATATGTTTTGCTTCTAATAATTTCTTTAGTCTTTCAATTTCATTTATAAATTATTAATTTTTATTTACAGCATCTCTGTTAGTTTTTTCAATCTATCTATATTCTAAAAGAGCTAATTCTATTCTAGAATGCTTTTATTTCCAATCTTCAGTTTCAGATGTTATTTATTTTACTAACGAATTCAATCTCTCTATTTCAGTCATTAAAACTGCTATTCTATGATCTGATTACTTTAGTTTATCTTCCATATTTGAATATTCATTAAACTTTGTTTCCAATTATTTGATTTTTTCTTTATAATCTTCTGCTATTCTTCTCAATTTTGATAATTCTTCTTAATTTCCATTTGTTACTGCTTATTATTCTTATAATGTTTATTAAAGAGAATTATTCTTATCCATTAATTAATTGTTAGATTCCTCTAAATTTTATACTTCTCTGACTAATTGAGAAATTTCGTTTTCTTTTTAAGCTAATTCATCTTATTATTATGCAATTACTTAATTTGCTCTATCTAATTCTGATTTTGCTTATGCAAGCTCATCTTACAAATCTCTCATCTAATCAAGATTGTTTCTAAGTTTTCCTAACTCTTTTTGTTATTAATCATACTGATTTTTCATTTAATCTAACAATCCTTTTAATCTTTCTAATTCTCTATCTGCCTATTACTTTTATCCTGCTTCTCTATTTAATTTTTGATTATCTATTTCAAACTTTTATAAATCATCTTCCAATGTATCAATGTAATGATCCATTTCAATTAATTTAGCTTCAAGATCTTATATTCTTTTTAAAGCATCTTATAATTCTTATTATTTTTAATCAAATAATCTTTATTTTTCTTTCAAATTATTTTGTAAATCTGAAACCTTGTCATTTAATTAATTTTTCTCATCTTCTAATTCATGTAATTAATCTTTAATTTCATCTAGTTATCCTTAATTTTATGTTTGATTTTCCAAATCTTATTATAAATTATTATTTTCCTATACTAATGCTTAATTTTATGTTCTTAAATCATCAACATGTGATTTCAAATTTTAATTCTCTTATTAAGCCTTAGATAAATCAGTTTAAGCTTTTCTTAAATCTCCTTATGCTTTTTGTAGATCACCTTATGCTCTTTATAAATCATTTTTAGATCTTTATAAATCATTATTCATTTATGCAATCTTTGTTTCATTTTCTCTTAACAATAATTGTATTTTATTAACCTCATCTTCTTTTTATTTTAATAACATTTTGTATCTAGATAATTCTTAAGCTAAACCAACTACTTTTTCTTCTAATTCATTTATTTTCAATTACATTAATCTAATTTAATCATCATATGAACCTTAACTTTATTATAATTCAGATAGAAGTCTCTAAATTATTTATTTATTATATAATACCTTTAAATCTCCGATTTCTCTATCTTTAGATTATAATTATTTCTTATTTTCATCTAAGTTTTTTAATAATTAATCAGGATTTTAATTATTTAACTACATTTTCATTTTATCTAACTCTGCAGCCTTTTTTTTTAATTAATCAAGTTCTTTTTAAATATCAGCTATAAAATGTTTAAAATATATCTATTACATGGATTAGAAAATTATTTGCTAATTTCATCAAATTTATCAGCTTTTTATCTTAGTTTTTCTAATTCTTTTTCTAAATCTGAAAAATTTTTGCCATTTAATTTTTTATTTATATCATCAAATTGTTATGCTTTTTTTTTCAAGTTTTCTAATTCTTTTAATAATTCCTCTTAAAATCTTACTAAAAATACATACCTGGAGATTTAGCACCTATTTTCTTTTACATATCATCAAAAATCTTTGCTTTTTTTCTAAGTTCTTCTAATTCTTTTTAAATTTCTTCAGGTGTTTTGCCTCCAAAAAGTTTTTGTTACAATGATAATTGTAATTCTAAATCTTTCTAAGATTTCTTCCAATTAGGATCATAATCTTTGAGTTGCTCTTCCAATCTCCCTATCTCATCTTCTAATTCTCTAATTATTATTACAAGTCTTTCGCGTTCTTCAGAATAGTTATTTATTTCACTAAAATGATGAAATATTTTAAATATTACGATGTTTGATTTTTCAATTTTTCCATTAAATCTCTTATTTACATCTCATAATTAACTCTATCTAATCCTGAGTCTATAAAATTTTAAATCTCCTATTTCAACTATGTATTCTCTCTAACTAGTCTTTCTATTTCTACTGCCATTAAAAAACATGCAATATCTAATTCCTGATTCTATCGTTTCCCCAAATCATTTCTAAAATAACTAAGTCTTATACTTATATCTCACTCTTGTTTCATATCCAGGAACATTCAATTCCTTTTATACTGATTCTGATGTAAATCTTTAAGATGTGAAAGAACTTTAATAAGTCCTTTAGTATCCAGACATTATGATAAATTATATATTCCGTTTTTATTTCAAACCATAGTTATTCAATTGATATTATAAAAGAAACCAAAAAATAAATAAAAAAAGTATTCAATAAGTAATTAGTTAGAAGAATTGCAAAAATTATACACAATAATTATTCATTATTTTATTCAAATTTTTTTCTTTATTTTTGATTAAAACAAAAAAAAAATATTTAAAAAAATAATATAATTTTTTCTTCTGCTAATTCAGACTTGTATGAATTTATGGAGTTTTATTAAAATTTCATTAAAAAATAAATAGATTATAAAAATTTTATTTCTCTAAAGAAAATATTTTGATTAATATTAATAATAAATTTATGTAGAGCCCTCCTAATCCAGAAAAATTAGGTAAGTATTTTAAAATATAAGATAAGAAATAAATTCCTTAGAAATAATGACATTAAAAGATGTATAATAAAATAATGGGTAAGATGGAAAAAAAATATTTGTCGCAATTAAGAATATTGTATTTGATGTATCAGATTCAGGTAATCAAAATGATTTAAATCAGATAGTTATAAGTCTGATGGTCCTTATGGAGTTTTTGCTGGACATGACATTTCGATATCATTAGGAAAAATGAATATTTCAGAGGAATTTTTAGATTAATATGGCATTGTTACAGAGTCAGAAGATGAAATAGCTAATATAAATAGTTGGTTTAGCTATTTTTATTAAAGATATCCAGTGATAGGGAGAATAGATGATAAAAAATAAAATTGAATATTAATAGTATAATTAATAGTTTTTTTTTTATTTCAATAACAAGTTTTTTATTAAAAAATCAAACCATTTCTTTATATGTATAATTTTTTAGTTAATATAAGTTCATCAATAAGAATAAAAATTTCCTAATTGATTGATTTGATTCTCTTTAGATGATATCTAACAAATAAGCCATTTTACATAAAAGGCCATTTTGTTTTTTTTGATATCACAACAGACAACTTCATACAATTTTCAATTTTGTTGATATCTTTCTAAATTAATTAATTTAACAAATAATTTTTATCTTTGATTTTACAAGATTGTGATTAAATTATTATTTCCCTTTTCTGAAACTTCATTACTATGTACATGATTAAATTCAATAATCGAAAATTATTTTAATTTTGATTTATCTATTGATAAAATCAACAAACTCATCTATGTTGGGATGATTAAATTATTTTAAATAATTTCTTAATAATAAAATTAACATTTCTTCTATTTATAACTTTAATTACTACTTAATTTTCTACTAATAAATTTAATTTATATACATTTGGATGCATGTTTTCCTAAATAAACATTTCATAAAATCCTTTTCCAATTACGGCTTTGATAGTGAAAATTTATGAAGAAATTCTTTTTTCAGGAGAGGATTAAATAATTTCTTGTTTTTTTATTCATATTATTTTACTATATTTATACACTAAATTTATAGCTCACTCTTTTGTTGTTTTGGCATCTTTTGTTGTTTTAGCATCTTTTGTAGTTTTTGCTTCCTCTTCTTTATTTTTATCAGCTAAACCGTCAGTTTCTATTTGCGAAAACTTACTTTTGCCACCTCTTACTAGGATACCTTTCTTTTTCTTATTATTTAATTTATTCTAAAGTTAATAATGGAAATACTTCTCTATTCATATCTTAGATATGTAAAGGATTTGGTCCTTTATTACCAAGATCATAACTAACTTCTTCTTCTTCTTCTTTTTTTTATTTTTTGGAATCTTTTCTTTTATGTTACTCATCTTTAAAAAGAATATCAATAATTCCTTTTATTGTTTCTTTAACGCTATCTATTTCAGTAAAATTCATCATTTTATAAAATAAGAACTTATGAGATGGTATACATTTATATCTAATTTCTAATAAAAATTTCATGAAATTCTAATAACTTGTAAATTCTTTGAGTCTTTTATAAGTATTTGTGATTTCAAATATTAAATCATGATCTAAAGGAATCTTCTTTTCAAATATATAAATTCTAATAACATCTTAAAATAGTGCTTTAGTATCATCTGATTCATGAGCAGTCTCTTAATATTATAAAACTTATAAAAAGGCTTTGAACATAGTGATATCATAAACATCAGGAAATTTAACACCATAATCACTCCAAATTTTTAATGCATCTTCAAAAAAGTTGACATGTGATAAAATCCAAAGTCTATAATCTAAAATTTCATATTAATATCTGTATCTTTTAGCATCATTAATAACTAATCTAGCATCATCTGGCAATTTAGAATCCAATAATAATTATGAAAACTTTCTTACAAATTATTTAAGTTATTCTTTCTATAATGATTTATATTCAGTCATTATTTTATTTACTTCTACTGGATCTTATGTTGGAATTTATCGAAGTTTTCTTCCCATTAATTAATCTTTCAAAGACTCATATAAAGACATATATCTATCTCTCTTATTGTAATTTATTAATCTCTAAAATATTGGTTATAACTCTTCAAATTTTAATTACCATTAAAAAACATAAAAGAATCCAATAATTAATTACTCAGCTTCAGCTTCAAAATGTTTAAATTAATATAATAAATTAACAACCTTTCTCATTTATGTAAAATTAATTGTTATCTTAGTTGAAAAAAATGCATAAAAGAATTCGGCACAAGTCTAAGGAATTTTATTATTTTTTGTAATTTAAGCAATTCTCTCAAATGTAGAATCATAAAGTACAGTTTCATTAAGACAATAGTGAGCTAAAACTCTCTTATATAATAATCTGTTGTAATTTCCTTCTGATAAAATAAAATCTAATAAATAATTATATCCTTTTGATCCAATTGAAAATTATGTGCATGTTTAATTAATATATTTACCATAATTCTTTTCAATTTCTCCATATTATGTAGTATATTTAACCTTAATCTTTTCATTTACTTCAATCTTATTTTTTACTTAACAAATAATTTAAGTAAATATTAATTTTGAGTCTTAAGGTTTTTTATTTTCCAATGCCTATATTAATTCTGATATCAAATAGTAGTGATAACCATCTTCACTCTATTTGATTCCACTCAAAAAGGTTTAAACATTTTCAATTAATTATTATTTAGATTGTTCTTCTTCTTTGAATAGTTATTCAATCTAAAATTATGCTTTAGCCTTTAATTCTATATTATACAATTAATTATCAACTACATATGACTCTTATAATTGAGGAATAATTTATTTTTCTTACTCATATCTTTCAAAATTTTATTGTTTTACAGTCTCATTTGTTTCACTTACTTTATTTTTTCTAAATCTATATGGCTATTCTACTTTTTGGAACATATCTGCTTGTTTTTTCTATTCTTATCTAATTCTGATTAAACTAAAAACATTAAAAAATAATTTACTTTTCACTGTCCTCTGAAAATATTGATTTAAGTTATTCTGCCTCTCCTTATTCTAAAAGAATCTTTCCATGTTTTCTTGACTATTGTTATTTTTTTTATTATTAAAGTTAATTTAATTCTTATTATTATTTAACTTCTAAATCAATTGATTCAACAGATTTTAAATAATTCATGAATCCAGTTCCTTCATCTTTTGGAATTTCTGTATATTTTTAAGTACAAAAACTTGATTAAGGTTTTTAAACAATGTATTTTTATCTATACTCTTTAATCAAAGGACGATTTTCAATAATTGTATTGTGGAAAATTTTAGAAAATTATGAAAAGGTTCTAATTCTTGCTAGTTTAAGAAGATTATATTATTTTTTCTCTTCTGAAATTGAGAATATTTCTTATTCCAAACTTTTTTCTTATGGTTATTCCTCACTTGTTGTTTCTTCTTAAGGTTTTTGTTCAGTTCCTTCTGGTGGTTTTTCAGTTTGTGTTTCTACTAGTGTAATAGTTTATAATATAGGTTAAATTTTCTCATTCTTTTTTAAGATGTTATATAATTTATTTAATGCTTTTTTAGCATCTATTTTACGTCTAAATCTTCTCAATTTTCTCCTTCTTTAGGCATATTGTTTAGTTAGATTATATCTGATAAAGTTTTTGTTATAAAGCTTTTTGCTGTATATTTATTCATGTGCAAAGTTAACTATGCCAGGTTTATAATTTTTATAGTTAAAGAAAGAAGATAATTCTTTTTCTAAAATAAATGAAGAATTTTCTTAAACTGCCTCCTTTATTGTATTTTCTTTCACATCATAAGCAATAGTTTAATATGAGAACATTAAATTAGTTGAATTTGAATTATAACGAATTTAAAATTATGAAACTTCAATAAATTTACCTCTAATGAATATTCCATCAAGATTGGTATAATTTTATAGAGTCAAATGTTTTTCTAAAATTTAAAATAAATGTTACTTGGTTTGTGTTAATGATATTCAATCAAACCTTTTTAATATTATGAATAATAGGTTTTAACATTTAAATTGGCTAAAATTTTAGGTAATTCTTATTCTAAATAAAATTTATATCTATCTTCTCCAAAAGTTTATTTAAAACATTCTAGTATATCTTTAATTGGATAAGTATGTGATAATCTTTAAAAAATTAAAAATTATAAGGCAATAGCAACAACCCCTTTATCAAATGTTTCAGATCCAAAAAATAAATCTGCTAAATACAATTGCAATTCTTTATTTAAATTAATCTTAAACTTAACATTAAGAAGAGTTATAAGTTGTTATTTTAAAGATTCTGAGTTTTATTATCCACCCCATTTTATATTTAAGATACTCTTTAAAAAAAGCTCTAAATTAAGTAATTTAGAAGAGTTTTCATTAAAAAAGAAATATTATATAAGTAATTAATCTTACTCTGGAGCTTTTTTAAGAAATTATTCAAAAGATTCTTGATGATCAAAATATTACCCTTTACTCTTCAATTCACAAAACCTAAAAATAGGTAAGAATTTAGTATTCTTATATTCAATCTCTTTGATAATTTAATTAATATGTTCTTAATTAAGATATTTCTAATAATTAATAAAGAATTATTCAGGTAATTTAATAATGTGATTTTAAAAGGATGGTCTGTTAAATATTAAAGTACTTAATAATAAACAATTATAAATACTTAAATTATTCTTCTTTTAAAAATCCATAAAGTCCACTTGAAAAATGTGATTTTAATAAATGATAAACCAACGAGGGTTAAAATCTATCATATTTCATTATAAGGTTAGTTAGATTGTAATTTTCAAAATCTCTTGGTCTTTATTTAAATTTATCAAATAAATCTGGATTGGCAATAGATTTTTAAGTTTTAAGTTCTATATTCATTTAATCAATAATATCTTTTTTTGATGATTTGTAGGGTCTAATTTTTTTAGAAAAAATATAATCCCTTTTGAATTTAAAGTTTTTTTTTTCTTGAATATAATCCCTGAATATTCTTTAAACAGTAAACTTACTAATAAAAGGAATTCTTATATGAGGTTTTTAACCTTCTTATCCTTCTTAACCTTCTTCTGTTTATTGTGTTTCAGTGACTTCTGTTTCAGGCTTTTATTTTTTAGGATTGAAATATTAATTAATTTTTTTAACCATTTCATCTTTATTAGGTTTATATCTATATTAGTTTAACAGCATTCTTCTTAATAAAAAGTTAACTAAATAAGATTGAATCAAATACTATGTTTTTATTTATTGACTTCTTATTATTCTTCATAGGTATATTTTGACCTTAATTTTTTCTTTTCAGTATCTTAGGATTCTGAAAACTCAAAAATTGGACCTGTAATTGGCATATACCTCTAAAGGATAGCCTTCCTTACATAGTTTTTGATCATAAATAAATTAAAAATAATTTATTAAACAGAATTTAGATTTTTGATCGAGGATATATGTTTGAATATTACTTTTATTTATTTTATACATATTCTTATTAATCATCAATTATAATAATTCCATATCTTCAATAAGAAATCAGCATCAGTTACTTTAATCTCTCCTACAGCATCTACTAATTTTTGAGTATCTTATTTTAATTTAGCATATTCTTCTGGTACATCAAGATTATTTAGAATTTATTTATAAGTTTAAGCAGTGACTGTGGTATTGAATTTTTGTACATCTGGATTAACAATAATATTCTATTCTCCTTGTTTTCTGAGACTATAGATGGCTTTCTATAAAGAATTAATGAGAAGATATTACTAATTCATAATAATGATTTTCTATATCTTCAACATTTTTGAAATCAAGATAAGGAGTCTTAGTTTAATCTTTGAGAATTTCAGGAGGAAATAATTCTTCTAAATCTACTCCTTCAAAAACTGATTTAGCATCAGGTAAATTAGGTGTATTTAAATTGTCATTATAAAATACTTTTAAATGAGGATTCTTTCTGTAATTCGCTTCAAATTCTAGATTGGCTTCCTTTGCTTTTGTTTCAGCTTTAGCAAATAATTCTTCTACTAAATTAGAAAACTCTTTATCTTTATCTTTAATTCTTTCTGTATCAAAATTATAAGTTTTTGTTGTTCTACCACCATAGATATCTTTTGTTTCTTTCTTTTACAATAGATTTTCTAAATCTATATCTTCACTATCTGTATGAGTTTCATCTGCACTTATATATTTATAATCTCTTTCTTCTTTAACTTTTTCTTCTTTCAATGCTTCTCCTTTACCATTTATTTATTCAATAAGATTATTATCAGAAGTTATCATATAATCTTTTCCCCCTTCAGATTCAAATAGATTAATCTAAGCTTTTGCTGCTTACATAATTTATTTAGCAGTTGAATTATCCATTTTTACTATTGTTATATATTTATCCCATAATTCAAGAAGATTGTATAATCTTATTAATTATTTATTCATTTCTTATAATCTTTTAACTGGATTTGATTCAAGTTCTTCTATCTTTTATGCAATAACACTTTCAAATGCACTATTTACTTTATCTAATTATTCTGCCATTTCTTTTTCACTTAATTTTTTATCTGTTAAAATAATAGCTTAACAAGTATCCCATTCAAATTTCAAATTTCCCAATACATTATCTTATTTTAAAAATTTGATTAAAGTTACAATCCTCTGATATAATGGCATACCAAGTCTATTCTTCCATTCTAATTAAATATTAGGATCATTCAATCTAATTTATAAATTAATTATATTACTTATCAATTTCATCATATTAAGCAGTTTCAAAAAGAATTGCTTTCTCTTATAAATCGTGATAATATGACATCTCATCTAAAACAGTGTCTGGAATTATTAAATTTCCTACTAGTTTTTCATAAGAATTCTTATCTGAAATCCAATTTTTGGATTCTTCATTTAATACTCTTATTATTTATTGTCTATTCATTTTTTTAATATCTTATTCAACTAAATATTTTTTAACCCTTTCATTTCTTATTCTTCTAATATCCTATAACTTATTGAATTATTATGTTGCATTAAATGTTTATATTACAGTTTAATTTCTTCTATGAATTTCAAGTCTCTCTTATTTTGCTTTTTCTTTCGCTAAATAGTCATCAATATACTAATTTTCAATTTTAGTTTATTCTTCCCAAAAGTCCTTGACAATTCTTGACCTATACTTTGATATCACTAATTTCCTACCTAATTCATTAGATGTTTATATTCAATCCTTTCTTTGTCATATTCTGACATCTTTGGAGCTGGCCTTCTTAATTTATAATTAAAGGAAGGGATGCATACTAACTATCTCTTTCCTACCCTAATTAATTGTAGCATATTAAATATTTTAATTTTAATTTAATATCACGATTTAAATATATCATAAAATTATACAATTAAATTGTATATTCCTATTCCCATCATCATAGTATAAAATCCAATCCTAACAGCCATTGGGATTGCATTCTTATCTTTATGATTCACACACTTAACTTCATTATCAATCTCATCATCCTCATCTCCTATCAAAGATATCTTATTTTGTGTTTAATAACATTTCAAATGCAAACTTATTGGAACTATGTATACCAATAGGAATCCACAAACTGCTCCATCAAATGAAATTACTACCCCTACTGGAATATTTAAAATTTGAATTATTAAACAGAGCACCATAAAAAATATACTAAATCCCCAATATACTAGTTTAGGTGGCTCTCTCTTATGATAAATTACTTCCAATATTTAATATTTGCTTATATTATTAAATATAGGAAATGCTGTAACCAAATGAATTAAAAATAAGCTCTCTATTATAATTATTTCAATATCTGAACTCTTAAAACAATTCAATATAGTTTATGCATTATTTACATTATCACAACCCTATATTAAATTAATATATATTACCAGAATCCCAATTGAACCAAATATTCCCACTATTCCATATATTATGCCTGCTATCAAATAAGCTATAGCCAAATCTCTAGAATTATTTTCTTTCTTTTGATTGTTTTTTATCAATTATCCTATTGCATTATGAATCATAAAAGCCAAAGCAAATTAACCAGCAGGCTAACTAAATTCCCAATTCCATAAACTTATTGTTTCAATTTTTTAAGAAATATCTTCACTACTTAAATTCACTATAAAAATATATATAATAAAAATTCCATAAGCGAATAATGCAATTACTCCATAATGTGCTATTTTGACAATTGTTGTAATATCTTTTATTAACAGTAATGTTGAGAGTGGAAGAAAGACTATTAAGGCTTACAATTAAATTGAATACCTAAAATGCTATAAACCAATCAATACTTATTAAAAACTAAATTTTCACTAGCATTTGCAAACTCAATATCATTATAACTCAATATATATGTTACTATTGGGTATAATGTTAAATTTATTAATTAGAAGTATATTATTCCAACTATGAATAATAAAGTGCCTGAACAAAATCTAAAGGCTTACATCCAAGTCTTTCCTAAAATTCTCTTTATCATATGTTCAGTATCTATTTCATCAATTTTTAAATGCAATAATAGCAAAGAACAAGTATTATATTGGACAAATCCCAATATTATCATTATAACGGTGCAAGATATAATTCCATAATTCAAAAACACTAAAGGTAATACTAAACATAGTGATCCAACCATTGAATTAACTATTCCTACTATTGTTTGAAAACTTGATTATGTTTTGTCTGCTCTTTATATTGCTAACATTGAGATAACACTTGAGCTTTTAGAACTTTTCTTGTATTTTATTGTTGTTTCTTCCATCCAAAAATTTATTATTATTAACAATTGTTAATTTTAAATCTATTTATATTCGTAAACGATGATGTAAATTTTTGTTCACAATGATGAATTCTCCATAACTTGTAATAATTATATTATAATAATTAATTTTTCTTTTTATTTAAACGCATCATTAAAGTTAATATTATTTTGTCGCCCTAAATAAGACTATTAAGACAATAAGACTCCTTATATAAATCTAAATTCCATCATTTTTTTATTTTTTCTTATATTTCCTTAACAGACTGTTATTTTTTTTTGAGTAAAATCATTATTTTAATTCTATAAAGCTTCATTTACTAAATCACAAATGGTTAGAATTACATTTATATTTTCTAAATATAAATGTATCTCTATAAATTAGAATCAATATGTTAGAAAATATTTTAGAAATGATAAAATAATAATTTCTTTTTCCATATGAGATTTTTTAATAAAAATATTTCTTTTGATTCAATATCTGTTTTAATCATTCAGGGAATTTAATACAAATCTTTAAACTTAAGAATTAATAAGTTAAGAATGATATTATCATTCTTTCCGTTATTCTCAAATTTTGTAGTTATAACCTCAATAGAATTACAAAATTAATTAAATATATTTTTAGAATAGCAAAAATTAAAAGAATTAATTTTATCTAATATTAATTACAAGCATATTACATTAATTCAACTAAATCTTAAATAAAATAAATTCTCCTAATTTTAAAGCACAATAATTACCCTTCTATTTAACTATCTTTTTAATTATTTCTGGTTTAAATATTTGAAATATCAATAAAGAATTTAAATTATATATCAATAACTTAACTCTACAAGTATTCAAATAGAATTTATATTTTTTTATATTACAGAGATTAAAGCATATTTTGATTCTAAGAAAATTATTTCGAAGAAAAAAATGTAATAATTCAAACAACTATTTTTTTTGAGACATTGAAATGACTTCAATTAAATTATATTCTATTTTAGATCAATACTAAGGAAGTATTTCATAATCTATCTATTTCTTATCCATAATATAATCATAATATTTTGGTTTTTTTTTCTAGCATAGTCAAAATCTTGTCAACAGAATTTAATTGTTTGATTAAAAAAAATAAAATGATAAAATTTAGTTTCAAAGAAATTTGTTTCAATTTATTTAAATTTAAGTAATCTTAAAATAGTTACTTAAGTAAATTTTTAAGTCATTATTAACTAAATTCATTACTATAAATTAAAAAATAATTTTATCATGGTTTTAATTGTATAAAATATTTTTTCCTTCTCATTTGAAATCAGTTAGTAAATTGTTCTAGCTCTTTGTGTGAGTAACTATAATTTGGATGAAACTACAAACTACTCTCTTAAAATTGAGATTAGATCTCGAATTTGCTATATCACTTAGATCATATATTATTATGAGATTTAAAGAGGAAAAATTAGGTTATATATGAAACATCATGTTCCATTTGTTTTGGCTCTTTTTTATTGCATTCAAATAAATAACTTTATCTTTTTATTAAAATTAATTATAATGATTATTTGGGTATAATTATTATTTTTGGAACAATAATTTTACCCCTTAATAACATAGATATCCCATAAAGATAGAATCTTTATCAAATAATTCAAAATAATAATAAAAATCAAAATACAATCTAATCTAATCTTTTGATTTTAAAATTGTTTAATGTGGATATTTTTATAAAAAGAATGAATAAGTCATTTAAAATGAATGTAATTATTTTGCTTTTGAATTAGAATTATAAGACTTTTTTAATAAAACTTAGAATCATAGGAAATACAGAAAAATTTAACTTGATCAAATATATGTTAAATAAAAGAATTGAGTCAAAACTTCTAAAATTTACAACAGCTTAACAGTCAATTACAAAGTTAAACATTTATTCTATAGTTTTAATTTGAAAGTAAAATGTTTATATCACAATATGTATCAAACATTTTTCTTTAGGAATGCATTATGCCATCAACTGAAAGCATAGAGTTTTCTTAAATAGATTTTGATCATTTCAATTTCAGCCTTATTGTTACGCACTTTAATTTTTTTCAAGAAATAAGATTCTTTAATTAATATAAATACCATATAATGAACTTTGATTATTTTAATAATAATTATTATGAATAATCTTGATTTTGTACAAGAAGTTGATGCACCAACCATTAAATTACTTGTATTATTGAAGGAGCTTTAAGAAGATTTAAACTATTTAAACGATGATGAGCTAATCTAAAACAATCAAAAAGTGAATATTGAGGATCCGTTTAATTTTTTAGATCTCAAAGGTTGTACAGCACAATAAGAATATTCAAATGAATACATTTAACCATCTAGAAATTAACAGGTTCAAAAAATAATAACAAAGAAAAATAATTAAATTGTTTACAATCATTAAAAGTCTTACAAGTGTGGATATTGTGATAAAATATATATATAATCCTAATAATTAGGTGGGCATATTTCAAGAATACATAAAAAAACAGAGAATTAATAATCTTTGGCTAGTAGTTTCTAACTTAAAGAAGATAATTAAATTTAGTAGTTAGAATTTGATTTTAATTGAAATTTTATATTAATTTATATAATAAAATCTAATTATAAAAATTTATATCTTTAATCTCCTAATTATATTCAAGATGGGTTTGAGTATTTGATAAGCATTAATCAAATTGAGATTTATATAAAAATCTTACCCTTTTAATTTACTTCAAAATATAATTTAATTATTTTATATTCAATTTTCTCTTTAAATTTAAAAAAAAATAAACAAATAAATGCTTAATTAAATATTAAGTTCTTTAAGTAAGATCTGATAAACTTTTTGTCTTTATAAATAATATGAATAGAAATTTTTAAATTTATGTTAATTAATATGATAGTTTAGTCTATCATTTATTAAGATTGTTCTTAAGTAAAAATTAGAAAATTTCATAGATGCCTTATAAATTATAAGGTAAATCAAATAGAATTAAATCTGCCTTCTATTTAAGTTTCTTTAATTGGTAGAAAAGTATCCAATAAATAATAATATATAAATCATTGAATAAAATGAAAATTATTAATTTATAATTAGTGCTTTATCTTAAATTGTTATCTAACTAAATAACTTAAAAATGATTTTTTATTGAGAAATAAGGTAATTTTGATTCCATAAAGTTTAACTGTTTGATTTTTATTATTTATTGCGTGCTTTTCTTTGAAATTTGCTGTTTATTTAATTAAAAATTAATTATTATTATTATGAAGGATTAGAAGCCTCATTTAACTTTATTATACCCTAAAAAATCATTCTTAAGTTTTAAAATGAAAACTCTTCCATCAAAAGATAAAATTTGGTATTCAAAAATTAAAATCTAATATACAATCAATCACTATCATAAAATGAAAAAATATTCAGAAAAACAGTACTCTTAATATAATATATTTAAGCATTGCTTTCAAAGTAATGTCAAATGCTTCAGACCTAATAAAATCAAGTCCTTTTGTCGGATTGATAGGTCCAGAGTAAATAGTAACTATTAAATTAATTGCTAAAGAACCAATTTTTGACAGTAAATTGTCTATTTATAATAGATTCTGTAAGAATTAAGATTATTTCAATAAATATTGATAAGCCTTAAGAGTTAAGGGATTAATATGAAATAATGGATTCTTTTAAATAGGTAAAAGATTCTACAATAGATCTTCCTAATATAATTTTAAAAGTGTAAAATTTTATTTAATCGGAACCAATATCATATGTAAATATATTACTTATATTTATATAAGATTACTTCATCAAGCGATCGCAACATTTCTATATATTTGTCAAATATGTCATAATTAAAATAAAACGAAAGCTCCCCAAAATCTGGATTTTATAAATTATAACTTAGTTCAAAACAAACTAAGGATTCCCTGTAAATTTCCCAAAATTTTCAGATTGAGCAATCAATATAAATATTGAAAGATTAATAATAAACTCTAATAAATGAAATAAGGGAATTAAATAAATAGATTGTTTAATTAAAGGCAGAAAAAAATATTTCCTCTGAAGAGGATTAAGATGATTAAATAAAATTTACTTTATTTTAATTGATTATTCTAGCAATTGTTAGCCTATTGATGGGATTTTATTTTTCAGAAAATTGAGGATAGTTGATTATAATATAATTTTTATCAAAAAAAAAACTTCTTTTTAATTAAATCATAAAAAATCACGATTTTTAAAGTCCTTTCATGATTATTTTAAAATTTAATTATTCATAAGTGCTTATTCAGTTTTGGCATTTAATTAATCAAAATTAAAAAAACTTGCGACCCAATAGAATGTCATTTGTTAATTTAAATTTTAAGTTAATGTAAGCATAAATAAATATATTCTTATCTTATATCATTATTACACATTTCCTAATAAAAATAGTTGTAATGTAAAATAAATATATTTCAATTTATTAAAAAGAGATTGTTATTATTCATAGAAGAACTTTTTAGTATGGATCTAGAAGGATTTTTTAAACCTTCATTAAGTATGGGATTAATCCAATGTAGATTTGGATTTGAATGTCCTTTTAGTTTTTCAACAGTTTTTCTTATTTAAATTACAGTCTGCCATGGTTTATAATCACAGACAATTAAATTTTCATTAAAAGAGATTTTAGTTTAATCAATTTCAACAAGATCATCGAAAGGTACCTCTTCAATTAGTATTTTTTAATGTTGACTTAAGGGAGCCATTTGTTCTATTTTGAACTTTGGGGATTGATACATCATTAATTTAAAAATAATTTTATAGATTTTTTAGATTCTAATTGATCAAGTTAATTTCTATTATAATGCGTAACAACTGCAATATTATACATTTAATTTAATACAATTAAGAAATTAAAAATCATTGAAATAGCTCTTTAAAAAATACATATTAAATATGATGGAATAAACTAGAAATTATTAAAATAATGTTTGATGAATCAAATTTAGTAACATATTTTCATCTTTCCATTTTTCATCTTAATTAATTTGGAAATAATGAAAATTTTGTTATTTATATATTAGAAAGATAAATTAAAATATATCTGGAAATTTCTACAGATAGGATTTAATTATAAATTTTAAATTTAGAAATTATTTATGGAACTTAAAGAATGAATAGAAAATTGATAGTAAATATTTTAAATATTAATTGATAGATCAAAGTTATTGATTATGATCTTTTCATTCACTTAAACTCCATATTTCAAGTGTTTTAATACTAAAATCATTAGTGACAGTTAATAGATCATTTTTATAAGTTTCACATTTATTAGTATTTCCTGTTGTTAATGATTGATTAATATAAAGACCAAATTGTTCACCACATCCAACAGCAAATCCATCTGATTCACAAAAAATAAAATAATTATTTGTCTCTGTCCATCGAAATGCTTGAAATTCATTATCCTAAAATATATTCTGAAAAATTACTTTAAATGTCCATAAAAAGGTTTCACCATTTCCAAAAAATTTACCAAATGTTAATTGTAAGGATTCATTTAAATAAGCTCCAAATTTATATTAATTTACATCTTAAATAACTAATATTAATGGAGATCTATTTTCACATTTATGTAATAATGTTTAATAAGATGAACCATTTATAATATTTGAAAAAATTAAATTCCAATTTGAAGTTTTATAAATTGATGGAACATGCGCAATTATCTTAAATTAATAAATATTTAAATACTTAAATTAATTCATCATTATCACAAATTTTTGATTATTACATCATCTAAGGTAAATAATCTTAAGCTCCCCATAAATTATTTGTTCTTTTTAATGCTTTTTCTGTAAATAAAGAATCTTGAATATCATAAAATGGTATTATAGTTAGATTTTGTTCTTTTTATAATTATTGATCCTCCAACATTTTTTATGATTTAGTTTTCAAAACCTAAATCAGAATTTCATAAAGATCAATACTTAATTATATATGTTCTTTTTAATTTTGATCATTTTATATCTTTCATATGATTAAATACAATACTCTGAAACTTAAAATTGGTATAATTTCAACTAATTTTTTACAAGTTACATTAGAATTAACATGAATGAGTACTAAGTAATCTTTAAATGATTTGTTTGAGCTTTTAGCAATTCTCATTGGTAATTAATTTAAATCTACAGATCTCACATCTTTAGTCATTAAACATGCTTAAAAGTTTAAAATGCTTTATTCTTTCATCAAGTAAATTCTTACTTTAACATTTTTTAACAATTTCTTTATTACGATCAGTGAAACTTGGATCAAAGAGAATAACATCATTATTTATTGTTAAAATTCCTTCTATACATCCATAATTAGTTACATAATAAACATTAACTAAAAGAATAATAATTTAAAAATATACATTTTTTTGTTTATCCTTTGGTCATTATTTCATCCATTAAATTACGTCCAAAATATGATTGTTGATTTTAATTTATATTATTACCTGTAGTTTCTATTTAATCTAATTAGGAATCTTGATTTTATGGATTTGGAAGTTTAATTCTCATTCCAGGCACAAAACACTCAGGAGATATATCATTTAATAATAATATTCTGTTCTAACTATTAATTAATTAATTTATTACTTAATATTAAATTTAAGTTCAAGTCCAAATAGAGTGTCATTCTCTTGGATTATATAATCTATTAAATTGATTTATTCAGGTTATTTTAGTTATTAATCATAATTATCTAAGTATATATTTTCTACACTTGATAATTTAATATCTAAAATATTTATATGTATAAACCAATAAATTCTTATTCTTCTCCTTTTGTCCATTTTTCATAAATTGGAAAATGTTCATTAGAAGTGAATTCAAAAATAAATGTTTCATATTATGAATCCATCTTTATATCTTTGATTTCAGTATTTGGTTTATTAGTCTATTGATAAAAATGAAAGAATACTGTCGTTCCATAAAAATAATTAAATATATTTCTCATTATTATAAATATTAAAACTCATTATTATTATTAATAAATCAATTTATTATAAACTTTAAAGAATGAAATAAACTTTAAGGATTAGTTTGATAGTGAATATGATAATTTGATTTGATATAAATTATTTCAGTTTGATTTGATAAGAATGATAAAAATAATCAATTAGAAATAAATAAGCAAAAAAAAGATATTTTTAATATAAATTCCTAAATAATACCATAAATATATGAATTTTGTTAAATGTATTATTTATGTATTAATGCTTTATCAATGATGATGGTGTCCATGTGCTTTAGGTGTTGGATTTCCAGTTTTAACATATCCCAAAACTTAAGCAGCCTTCAAATAATTAATGCCTTAGCATTTCTTATCCAAACAGAATTGTACATAATCCTTTTCTTAAATTTTGAAGCATGATCTATAACATAATTCTAATTAATATTAATTTGTTTGATACTATCTTCCCAATTATTATCATGAAGATATTGATGTCTTAGCTTATCCTAAATTGTTTATTATTAAACTGGATAGTCAGGTTGATCATCCAATCCATGAAATGATGATAATAAATCAAAGAAATGGATATGTCCTTTATGGAAGACTTCTGGATTTTAAGGAGTATATGCTGTTGAATTCGATCTCATAATTATTTATTTAATTTAATATTTTATAATTAAACTTATTCATTCTCTACTTTCAGATATCTTAAATGTATTTGATATTTACATTCCCAATTATACTTGTCTCTCTTTTTATATATTTCATATAATACTTAATATTTGATTTCACTATTTTTAAAGAATTAAATATAATTTTATATTTACATGAAAACTAAGATAGTGTCTTTATTTCTAAAAAGAGAACATCTAATATTACTATCGAAAATGTTACAAATTACTGACAATTCAACTGAATAAGAGACACTAATTTTTAAAATTGATTCACAAAACTAAAAATCTGAAAATAGAATTCTAAAAACAGAAAGATGGCCTTAATAGGATTTAGACTACTTTTAGAATAGTTTTCTATAAATAGCAAACTTGAGTTTTTCTTATTTCAAATTTCACTTCCCAGCAAATTCAGCTCTATAAATAAAGGAACATATAAAATTTATTCATGTTGTAAAATAAATAAATTTTGGAGGAGTAACAATCGAAGAAGTATTTAAACAATAACGAGTAAACTATTATTGTTATAGTAGACTCGTCTCAATTTAGAAATATCCAAAATTACTAAATCTATAAAACTTATAGATGAACCTATTACGTCAAAACTTATGAATACTAAAATAGATCTATCTTCAATTTAAACCATTTAAGATAAATATTTCTTTCCTAAAAATAATGATTTCATGACACCTTACTTAATTCTTAATTTAAAACCACACATACCAAAAACAACCATAAGGTATTAAAATAAAGAACTCTAATAAAGTATTACAAGTTTAGAAGATATTCCACCTTTTTAATTTATGAATTCTAATCTCATATAACCAATTCTCAATTATGAATCTTTAAAAAATAGCTATGAATATAAATTTAATAAACTTATGTAAAGGAATTCACTGGTCTAATATACAATTAGAAGATATTAAAATAAAATTAAATAATATGAAATCAAATCTCAAGATGATCATATAGATGATCCCCTTATAGAAATCAAAATAATGTTTTGTTCTTAAATTAAATAATTATGTGAAAATAAAATAAATCAAAGCCTCATTGATTCTAATCTTAAATTTCTAAATACGCCCAGCATTGAGAATTCTTCTCTAAAAATTACTCCATTTTAAACTATTAAAGATTTGGAGTCTGTAATATTTAATCAAATTAAAGAAAAATAATAATCTTAAGAAATTATTCCCTCTCAAAATATTAATGAAGAATAAAATAAAACTAAACCTTTTGATTTTGCATAAAATACTAATTTATTATCTCTAAATATTTCTTAAAAGTATCTTAAAGACTCAACAATAACTAATTTTGAATCATAAAACAATTATTAAATATTAGATAATGAATCTACTAATAAATTAGAATAAAGATTAATTAAACCATCTTTATAATCATTAGATTTAAAGTAAACTGAATTATTAAATTAAAGTAGTGGTAGATATCAAAGAAAAATTTATCATTTAAAAATTCAAGAAAAATATGATAAATCATAGTCAAATCATAAATTTTTAAATATTCCACATCAAACTATGGAACCTCCTATTTCATAAATAGAATTCTAAAACAAAGATAATTAAAAAGCTATTTTAACAAATAGAAATCTTTAATAAAAATCTTTAGATAGAATAACTTTAAAGCCATTAGCTTATTAATCTGCAAAATTGAAAGAAATTAGAGATTCAAACAGAGATAAAAATGAATCATCCTTTCCCTATATAAAAGAATCACTACCTAATATTGGTTTTACTATGAATGATTCTGAACATGAAAAATTGAAGGAGTGTGAAGCAAAATTTTCTTCATAAGGTGGCTTATTAAAATGTATTCAAAAAAATGAAAAAGAAGAAAATTCTGTTAAGGAAATTTTATTATTCTAAAAAAAAAATTGTAATTTGAGAAATTAATTGTAAAATTAACTAATTTTATTAACTCGTTCTGAACAAATCTTAACTACTTTGATGTCAAATGGATAAATTAGAGGAACAGAGCTTTATTAATAATTGTTATAACCAATAAAAATTCATTCAAGTGCAAAATTTTTAACTCCAAAAAGTAACAATCTAATTTCTAGAACAAAATTTAAAAAAATACAACAAGATGGCAAGATGTTCAGCCTTAAATGAAATATTAATTTATATCCTATTTCATTATCTATTTAATTTTTATATTATTTTCAAATAAAAATATTTTTACAATAATAATTTTTAATTATGATATCGCTATTAAATTAAATTTAAAACTAAGCAGATTTAATGATGAATATAATTTTAAAAAAATGATTTTAAAATTTTTTAATTTTGAAAAATAATTTTTTTTGATACATATTTTTTCATTATTATAAATCATTATCAGTTTTTTATTCTTATTTTTCTGAGATCATATCTTCAATTTTAAATTTATGTATTATTTAATCTAAATTATCCAAATCTAAATAAAAGGAACTTTGACTAATCATTAAATTGTCTCTTATGATTTATTGGCATTTTTCCATATAATTATTATAAAGTCCTATTAATTCATATTTTGAAAGTTTCTTAGATTTAAAATAATCTTGCTATATATCTAATTATTTTTCAATCTCTTATAATTATTTGAATTAATATATGAATTTAAAAATGAGGTCAGGTTTTTGAATCTTTTATTAGTAGAATATGAAAAGTAACTTACTTCTAATTTTTATACAAACATTAATAACATTAATAAATAAAGATACTTTAAAATAGCTAGAAAAATGGTATTCTTCGTATAAAAACCTTTTTATGGCACAGAAGTAAGTTCTTTTTTGTCTATAAATTTTATATGTTCTTAAGATTAATTTCGACCCTAATTTGCAATTTTCACTATAATTTTTTAATTGAACCCATTTTGATTCTGATAAAGAATTGAACTTTAATGTGTTTCGAATTTCTATATTTAATATATCTTCATTAATTATTTTAAATAATTGCAGCTTTTCAATATTGAAAGGATTATTTATTGCATTAATAAATTAATCATTTAATCCTTTTTCATTTTTAGTTTCTTTAGTTTATAACAATTAATCAGTTATCAATTATTTCATTTCAATGGAAATCTCATCTAAATTTATACTCAATATAAATATTAATTATTTGATTTTCAATTAATTTAAAGCAGGATTAATTTTACTAAAACTGATTAATTTTTTAAAAATATATAAAAGATTATCCCATGATTTAACAGGATAAAAGTTTGTTTCTTGATAAAGTTTATTTTCATTTGTCTAAATAATTTGATTAAAATAGATACTATATGATCTTGGAATATATATTGAACATTTATCTATGATGTTTAATTTGATTCCAATAATATTATAAATGAACAAAGAAATAAGATTATAAATTAATTCCTCCTGAGTTATATCTTAAGTTAGTTATAAGTATTTTATAAAAAAATCAGTAGCGCTGTCTATCATGTTCCACTTCTTATATAATGTTAATTAAAAAAAGTCAAAATATTTTCCAAATTAATTTCCAAAGCCCTATTAGATTTTATTAGTTAAATATATATAAGTTAGATGATTGGAATTAGAATAATTTAATAAGATTATAGATTTAATAATTGAGCCATGTAAATCTTTTTAATTGTTATATTGCTTTGATAATTTGTTTAGTCCTTCATAATTAATAAAAAATTTTTACTATTTGGAGTTACACTGTATTTAAGAATTTTTTAGCAAGAGTTTCAGAAAGCCATTCCCTTTATTAAATTCTTTGTTTTTTGATTTTAAAAATAGCAATCTCTGATAATTTTAAAGTTCTTAAAATAATTATTTATGCTCTTAACAGCGAGATTAATTATCTTTTAAATAGATATTCTACCAATACTTATTATGGATTTGAAAATAATAACAAACATTTAGTGAATCAAAATAATTTTAGAAAGAATTTGAGTATTTAAGATTGTAATTATCCATGAATTTTTTTCGAACAATATTTAAATCTAAAATCTCTTAAAAGATTTTCTTAGTAATAGTTTTAATTACTAGCTCTTTCGGTGCAATCACGAAATTTAAATCGATATCTGCAAAAAAAATATTATTTTGAAATTCTTTATTTTCGATATTTTATAGTGTTTATTGAACTATTTCTTCTAGAATAATAGACGAAGTATGAATTAATAAAGAATTAAAAAATGGTTAAAGTAACATAATGTTATCTGGTTGTCTAATTTTAAAATAACTTAGAACACTTCTAATTACTATTTAGCGTTATTTCTATAGTTAATCTTAATTGGTGTTTATAACTCTAATGATGAAAATTAAGGATTCAATTAATTTACAATAAAGTTTACCATCAATATCTTCTATCCTATTTATTATTTAAAATGATTTATTATGTACAATTTATTAACAATAAAATAAGATCAAATAAACTGATTAAAATAATGATAATTCATCCAAAATTAGATTTTAAATTTCCAATTTTAGAATGATTTCATTAATAATTTCCTATTTTAATTTCGCTTCTGCAAAAATACTATCAAAAATGTTCTAACTTAAATGAAAAATTGGAGGTGCTTTCCATTATTTATTTATTTCATTTTTTTCCATATTATTCAGGGTTTAAGAATGTTACTTAAAATACAACCATTATGGTATTTTATAATCAAGGATTAATTATATTATTTATTAATCATAATATTATTCTAGTAAGATGAGAATATACTAAATTTCTAATCCAGTTAAAGGATGGTCAAAATTTAATTTTTCAAATAATTCAAATCTATTTTCAAAAGATAAATTCAAATTCTATTTTGCTGATTATTATTTGCCTAATATTGAATTCTTATATTTAACATCAATATTATTATTAGATTATATTATTTTTTCAAGTGAGTAGATAGAGTTCATCCAATAGATACATTTCCAGCTTTTATAATCCATAAATAATTTGCAAATAGATAATGAATTCTGAATATCTATTAAGTAAATTACTTTTTTCCAATAACCTAGTAGGATTAATTAAGCATAAATTTCATTATCTAAAGATTTCTCAGGAATTAAGTCTGCTGAATCAAATTTTAAATTTAAAAAATTAAAGTCAATTATTTAAAATATTTGTTAAAGAGTAAAAGAAGCTACCTACCCTCTTTTTTTTAATATTTACATTTATTCTAAATTATTCAAGTTTAGAATATTTTAAGGGCATTGTTATTATAATAATGGAGATAGATTTACTGCAATTTTAATCAAATATTTAATCATTTGATTTTATAGGCTATACATATCGCATATCAATATACATAATATAAAATTTTAAAATTGATCTAATATATCTAGTAACCATAAAATTAATTTCTTATCTACTAAAACAGGATCTATTTATAATTCAGCACTTTGATCTACTTATTAGTTTAAATAATCTGTTACTGACTATTATTCTAATTTATTATCATAATTTTTCAATAATGACTTTGAAAATTCATCTTAAAACATTATTATATATTATAATAATTTTTTGATTACTAAATCTTAAATTTTACTTTTAGAACTAAAATTTATTTATTAAATTTTTGGTTATACTTAATTTTTATCTTTTATCGTAGAAGGAAAATATCTCTATTCTTATTATAAAAATGACTTTTTATAGAAATCGGGTTTACTATTCTATTCATCTTACTAAGATTTTAATTCTAGTTTATTTACATTTATAATTTATTAATTTTAAAGGGTTTAAGACTCATATTTATGGTGGGTAAAATCCATAATTTCTTCAATTATTTTTTGAGAATTAATAAAATATTTTATTAAATATTCTAAATTATCTATCTGGTTATCATTTGTAAATTAATTTTCAACTTCAATTGTCAATTTTTTTAATAAAATTGGAAAATACTAATTGAAAAATTGTGTTCGAATAACATTATTTATTTAATCTTTTTATTTATAAAGAACTTCCAAAATTTTTTCAAATTCATTTGCTTTTTCATATGAATCTATGGTTTTTAAAAAGTCTTTACATTTTAAAAAATATTTAGCTGCTTCAATATATTTTTGACATTAATAAGCTGCTTCTCCTGCTTGATAAAATAGTTCAAGTCTATCATATATTTCCAATGCTTTTTCATATTATTCGGAAAAACTATAACATAAAGCTGCCTATTTCAAATTTTCAGAATGATAAAATAATTCTGCAGCTTTAAAAAATTAATTCATATACTATTATTTAAATTCAGCTATTTGTTACTTTAATTTTGGGTATTTTTATGATTATTAGTAAGATAAAAGTGATTGGCAAGCTTCAATTGATAATTAGAGTGCTTTCGTTTTATTCTATAAATTTTAATATTCACTAAATTAAAAACATTTTTCAGCTTATTCATAGAATTTTTCTTAATACATAAATATGCCTTGTTCTTTCCAAAGGTCTTTAGATTTTATTTAAAAATGCTCTTAAAAATTTTAATGATTGAAGTCTGGATAATTAAGAATTTAAACTAAATCAAGATTTTTCCAAATTGTTTCTATCCATTTTCTTGTTTATGGTTTTTCATCGAAAATATATAAGAATTTTCTAGCTCTTGTTATTGCAATATATAATTATTTAAGTTCATTGCATAATCCACTGTTATTATACGATAATTCATCTTAATATTTTATGTATGAAATCATTCTTTTAATTATAACATTTCCATTTTTATCATCAAACCCAGTAAAATAAGAAGTATAATAATCAATCGTTGATTCTCTAGTTTAACTTTTCATGAATGTTTATCTATTTATTTCCTCATCTATAATTTCACATGTTTATAATAATTTCCATTCTAATTCACCAATATAATCATCATTAAAGAAATTATAAAGAATCACATTCTCAAATTCCAATCCTTTTATTTCTTCAATTGATAAAACTAAAATATGTTAAAATAGTTTAGGAACATTTTTTTTAGATTCCTAATTTTTAACAATTATAACTGAATGTTACCCTAATTCTAATGGTAATTTTTATATTTCTTAAGAATTTACAAGATTTATAATTCCTTCAAATAGATAAAATAATAAATCTAAGCTTCCATTAACAATTATTGGTTTAAAACCTTCAAAATTAGATGATTATTTTTTAAGAAAATCTATTGTTTTTGGAAAATAAATTTCAATCAAAGAAACAATTGAATTTGCTAAATTTAGAATTCTAAAATTTGATCGAAAATTTTAATTTAAAATTTAAAGAGTTTCCTTTGATTAATAATAATTATAATCATCTTTTGATTCTATTATTTTTTTATAATCTTGTATCGTTAAAAATCTAAATCCAACACCTTTACATATGTTTTAAGCTGTATCACCACTATAGAGTGTTCCTAAAATTGAAATTTTTTCAAATAATAATATTAATGCTTCTGGTAAATCCTAAATTTCATCTAGAAATAAATAATGAATTAGATTTTTAGATAAATCCTCTTATTTAATTTAAACTAAAATATGATTAACTATATCCAGTAAATCAAAATATCCTTCACAAATTCTCCATTTTTCATATTAAATGAAAATTTCATAAACCATTTTGAATTCTTTCTTATTACTATGATGATGTAAAAATGTTATTTAAGGAATACTATGTCCAGGATATTCATGAGAATTACAAGATCCTTTTATATGAGAATAAATTTATGTCCAAACAAAATATGGATTGAGATGAATATTACTACATTTTTTAAGCCAAAAATTATTTAAAAAAAATCTGAAATCTACCTCTTTTTACATATTCATGTTCATTTTTTGTTAATTATCCACTTATTTAATTTATTCCTGCAATTTTTATTTTATCAAATCTTCAAAATTTATTTAATTTTCTAAATCTATTTCATGATGTAGAAACAAATTATTTTATTAATATTTTTAAAAATGTTAAAAAGAAATATCATAGTAGCTATTATATATTGAAAAATTATGATCAAAGTACTATTCTTTAGTTTAATTTTATGAAAAGAACGGTTAATTGAGAGAGGCATCTATCATAAAAATCAATTATTTAATTGTAAGAAACAAAGGGTAATCTTCCTAAATTACATCATAAAAAGAGTCAAAATGTTTTTAATTATAATTATTGCTATCTATCTTAAAATCTTATGTCTGTGAACAAAATTAATTGTTAAATTTCGATTGTTTTTTATCCAGCTATGATTAAATTTAATAATTCAATTTTTTATAATAGTTTTTAGCTAAGACTGATTAAATATGACTGCTACTTACAAATACACAACTTATGAACAAATCATTAGCTTTTAATTAAGGATTTTTTCCCAATTAAATTTATAATCTTAGTTTAAAAAGATATTACATGGCTAATAGTCTAAGAATTAAACATGTAGTTTTTCCTGTCCCACTTCTACCAGTAAAAATTACTTTACCTTCTTTTCCAATAATTTACTTTTATTCATCAGTTAGTTTTATAGTGAAATTTGGAATTTTTTATAAAAATTCTACTAATTTAGATGAAGAACTAAAATCAGCTAATTTTTAAATTATATCATTTTTTAACTATTGTTATTGTTCTAAATTTTCTTCTAATCCTGATTTATAATTAAGGCTTTTATTTATCCATTATTAGGAAGATAAATCAAATTCAAAAAAATCTTATTCTTATTTAGTTAAAAATTTTGGTAAAATTTTATGACTTAACCATTTGATAATTTAATTTTTTCTCAAATTGTAAGCTAATTCCCAATATTAATTATTATTATTTTTTGATTTTATAAACAAATACTCTTTATTTATATTGTTTAAATTTTCTTCTTAAATTTCTTAAAGTATTTAATTATCAATACCTCTCCTAAAAATTGAGTTTTTAGTTTCAATATGATAATTTTAAATAATAAATTTAGTATCTTTATCAAAATTAGCCTCAAATTTAATATCAATAAAAGTAATTGTATGTATAAAATTAAAACCAACAATTTAATTAATATTCAACTTGTTTTAACAAATTAATTTAGGAATTTAATCAATAGCTACTTCCCAAAAAAATGTAAATCCTTCATCTGTTTTTGTTTAAAAGTATGCTTGCATAATTGATAAAGGTTCTATATCTATAACTGTTGTAATTATCCCTTAATCAATCATAGAAAAATAACCTTAAAGAATAGTTTTTAAATATGCCAATACTCTTAAAGAATGTTATTATTTAGAATATAAAGTTTAGGAAAATTTATCTAATCTATTAATTTTATCATACTTGTAATTTTATAGTGCCAATTAGCTTCATCTAAAAATTTAGCAGCCTTCAAAACTTGAATTTCATTTTTTAAGTTGGATTTTGATTCTTTTTGTTAGAAATTGAACATTTCTTCTTGGCCTGATAATATATATTTTGATCTCTCCTCGGCATTTTATTCAAACCATAATAATAAGAATTAATTTGCAGAAATATTTTATAAGACTTATCTATTCGATTCTAAAATTTAGTTAAGCTCAGCTTGAATAATTCTTTAATTTTTTTTGACAATAGATTTGATTGTAAATACTTGACTTTAGTTATTATTTTAAACTCTTTTCATTTAAATTTATTTCGAAATCCTTTATTTGAATTAAATTAGTTTTATTAATTAAAATTAGATATAGGATTGCTCCTTCATGGATCAGTTGGTTGTTTAATTTTATTTGTATAAAATTTTAAGACAAGTTTTTTGTTTTAATTACTATCAAAACATATATTGATTAGAAATAAATTTCCTATTATTATCATATAAAATTTTATTGTTAAATTGTTATTGATATAATGATTATTCATAAATATATTTATATATGCATGATTTTTAGTTATTATTAATTTTTACACGTAATGTTTTTTATAATTGCATTTCTTCTCTAAAGTGTTTTAAGTGTGCAATTTACATTCTTATTAAAATCAAAAGAATTGAAATGTTTTGGAGAAAATATAGGATAAAATAGTTTAGTAGTTGGTGCTATTTCAGGAAATTCAAGCGAATACTCTCTAAAAATTCATGTAATAATATTGAATATGATAGATGCCTACAAAAAAGGTTGATAATATACTTTAATATTCTCATAGTTTAGAATTGTAAAAGTTTTCATTTACAACAAATAATACATAATTGAATTATCAGTTTTGCATTCATAATTTAGCAAACTCTTATATGAGTTTTAATTTTACATTAGTAACAGGAATGGATGCCTAAGATTTTTCTTTATTGGCTTAGAAGGAAGATTTAAAACCTTTAGAAATTCATTTAAAGAAATTGAATGGTTTAGTAAATGCAATTGAAGTAAGATTATGTATTTAATTATAGCTTGATTCAAAAGAGATGGAGGAGAGATAATCAAATAGATTTTCAGGAGTTTCAAAAATATCTTATAAAATAATATTATTTAGTGTGGCAACTTTACTTTTAATGATGCTGACAAATTTTGTATAAGCTCGAAAATTAAAACAATTTTTCAAATACAAAAAACTTATTTGATATCTAATTTAATTAAGTATAGAGATAAGAATTATATAATATTAATTAAAAGTAAGTCATAAGAGTTGGAATTCAAATTATTTATAATAAAATCAAACTTTACCAGATGATTTTCTAATCTAATCAATTTTTTCATCAAATTCTGGGATATCCTCTAAATGACCGTTTGAAGATCCACTATTACGTGATCTACATGATAGAGTCTTTTTTTTTGTTTTTTCGATCACAAAATTATATTTAGCAAGAATAATTTAAATTTCTTTGCATTAATCATCAATAAATGAAATCAAGAAGTATTTTAAATATTTTCTTTCTTTTGAGAAACCTTCTTTTTAAATAAATTTATCAATAACAATTAAAGCAGATAATCTTACACATTAAACAGGATCTTAACATAATTATAAAAGTCTTTCAAAAAATAGATTTTCGAAATCAGCTCTATAAAATAATTTATAACACATCCAACAATAAGATTATCTTTAATTGAATCTAATAGAATGTGAAAATGCTTTAATTTATTCAAGAATAGCAGTTCTTTGTTCTCCTTCTTCCTCAAAAGTTTCAATTAAATGAACAACATTTTTTGCAGCTTTTTATCTTACTTTAGCAACAGTATCTGAACAAAATTTGAATAGAATAGGGGCAATGTGAAAAAAGATAGTATCATTATTAAAACATCTGGTAATTGGGAAAATAGATGTACAAATAATCTAACGAGTTCTCCATTTGTGTTAATCTTTTTAGAAACTAAGTAACAAATCAATAACATAATCCCTTTCTTCAATAGGAAAGATTGATATAAATTTTGATAGATTCACTATAATTCCATTTCTGACTTCTTACAATTTATCTTAAGCCAGTGTTTCTAATACATTGATCAAATATTATTTAGATAAATCTGGACCTAATATTTTAGCTACTTCATGAAAACTATATGCTAATGATATCTTAACTTTCTTAATTAATTATAGATATATAATTTACATCTGAAGGATATTTTAAAAGAAATCCATACAAAGATTCAATCAATTACCAACGATTTCGACCTATAGCTTAGAGTACTCCTGGAAAATAATATGCACATTTATAAACAAGCTATAATTTATTAAAATATCGATTTTACATCAACTCCCATCATATTAATATTTTTATCTAATTAATTTTAATAGTATGCTAAAAGAATATCTAATTGTTGTTAATCATTCTCAGTAAATTTTATTGTACTAATAAATTCACCTAAATATTCATATGCTGTTTTTCGAACTTCTTTATTTTAATCAGATAGAAATTCTAAATACTTTGGAATTAATTTTTAAGTCTTTATTTAAGCACCAGCATATTTAGAAATACCTGAGATTGATTTAATACATGCTAATTTTATTTATAAAAGTCTATCATCACAAGATCTAAATAATATCGATTATTTTATTTACTTAAGAAAGAATGGCACAATTTTCAACTCTATACATTTCTAAGAAAGACTTACTGATATATATGGTAATTATTCAATAGCTTTTTCTCTTACAAATTCATTTAAATCTATTCCAAGAGATAAAAGTTCTCCACAAATATAAGACTCACAATACTTTATTGAAAAGAGAGAAGCTGTTTTACCAAATGTTTCAGCTGCCAATATTCTATTTTAGTTATTTTTTTCATCATGAGCCATTTCAATCAAATGTGCCAAAATTGTATCAACTTTATCAGATTCAATTAAAAATGGTGCTATTTTTAGTAATTAAGTCAAAACTTCTTTTTTAATCTAATCATCATTTGTACTTTTACATCAAAGTCTTAATGTTCAAGAAAAATATTCATAAATGGCAGAACATGATCTTTTAATTCCAAATATCCTGATTATCGTTTCTTAATTTATTCTACAAGAACAGGCAACTATCTAATAATAGACAATTAGATTGAATATGAATCATTAACCTTATAAATAGGTTTAAAACTATGTATACAAATTACTAAAGGATAAACCCTAAATTTCTATATGCATCATCTCCTATCATTTCAAATACTTCAGCTAGATGTTCTGCATATGCTAATCTACTCTCAGATTTAAAAGTTACCTCTCTTTGTTAATTAGTTCTTAAAAACATTTTAATTTAATCAATGCCACTTATGGATCTTCAGTTAAGAAAATCTCTTGCTCAATAGGTTTTAATGTTATGTTGATCATTGATTCTTCTTTCAATATTGATTTCATAATGTCTTATTTCTACTCTGACATATAAACATCATTTAATACCATTTGACATTTTTATAGGAGAAATCTCAATACTATTTATCATTAAAATTAAATTAATATATGTGATAATGACGATCTTTGGATCTCAAAACGAATAATAAAGATAAAAGAATATGATTGTTATTTTAAAACGATTATTAAGTATTAATACTATAAGCATAATGATTTAAATAATTCTAAGGATAGGTTTCACAATTATATATTTTGAATATTTATTTATTAATATGATTGATTGATCAAGTTATGACAGTTGGTTCATTTCTTCCTGTGAAGTTAGAAATATCACTTAATTCTAAACCAAGTTTAATAATATTGGCTAAAGCTGTGGCAGTTTCATGTTTGATATCTACTTATTCAAATTATTCAAAATAAATTCTAATAGTAGCACCTACAGATCCTGTTCCACTTAACCTAAATATAATTCTAGATCCATCTCCAAAAACAAATCTTACTCCTTAATTTTTGGAAACAGATTAATCAACAGGATCAGTATAATCATATATATCTGCTTTATTTCCTTCTTTTAATTACTATTTAATTATTAAATAATAAATACTTCAAAATATTAGAATTTAGTTTTTAAATGTTCCATCATTTTATTTGCACCAGCAGAATCAACTTATTCATAATCATATCTTGAGTAATAATTTCTACCAAATTATTACCAATGTTATGTGACAATTTCTTCAACTGTAACAAAATGATCAGCATCTTTATTTTTATGTGCTAAAATAGTTAACCATGCTAAAACAGCCCAAATTCCATCTTTTTCTCTGATATGATTAGATCCTGTTCCGAAACTTTCTTCTCCACATAAATTAATTAATCCTGCATCCATCAAATTTCCAAAGAATTTCCATCCTGTAGGTGTTTCAAATAATTTAATTCCATTTTTTAATGCAACCTTATCTAAAGCTCCTGAAGTTGGCATAGATCTAGCTGCACCTAATAAACCATTTTTAAATATTAAATTAGCATTAGCTGCTAATATTGCTAATGAATCAGATGGTGTTACAAAGAATTATCTACCTAATATCATATTTCTATCTGCATCACCATCACATGCAGCACCAAATTATGGAACTGTATTTACATCTTTCTTTTTATGAATATCTAATAATTCAACTAAATCATGAGCATAAGTTAAATTTGGATCTGGATGACCACCACCAAAATCTTCAGATGGATCACAATTTAATAAAGATTCTTTTGAACATCCTAATAAAGTGCCTAAAATATGTTTAGCATAAGGTCCTGCAACACCATGCATTCCATCTAATCGAAATGAAAAATCTTATTATTTAATATTTAATTAATTTTACCTTTATTTTAGAATAAAGTTCTTAACAAATCAAAATCAAACAACTTCTACATCAATTCAGTATAATCTTTAACTG